AATGTGACGAATGACAAGCAGCCTCAATCCACTATTTAAACATGAAACTTACTAAATAAATATCAGGTATATGAAGTCTTTGTAATTGAAAAAATCTTCTTCAATTTCACTGCAATTAATGGAGAATGATATGATGAAGTATACTCTTAATTGAAATTAGTGAAAACCACTGTGCATTAATGAATACACACTAATGTTTACGAATCTAGTTTAATTAAGTAGGGCTATTTGTAAGCCAGAAACTTGTTTAAAGAATTGAAAATGTAGTTCAACATCATGTTGGACTTTTAAGTGATATTCATAAACATGTTAAAAATCATGATATAAAGACACGTTTGAAATAATTAGAACCACAACAAGAACAAAATTCTGGTAATTTTTACTTTAAATAGTGACAACTTTCCAACCTTTACTAAAAATTACTTTAATTCAAATTCTATTTATGTCGACTCCACTCCATTTAACTTCACGTAAAGTTACTTAAATACGTATGTCAAGTAAATGTTTCTTTTCACTTTGGTGTAAAAACAAAGTTAGTACCAGTATTAATAGTGTAACTGTTGAATTAATTAATACCTCGTTTGCAGATACTCGTATTTCATGTTAGGTATTGATACAGGATCAAATATATGGGAATTGAAGATATGAATCACTCGTACAATGATATTGATAGTATATTTACCATTCATTCACTACTCAATGAGACTTCATAGACTTGGTGTTTCATTAGAGAGTTTACTTTATTATTATTACAGAATCGAAATTTATGTTGAATTTGTTAATTAACTAGATATATATTGAACTCTTGAATCACCTTTCACGAGCAGACAGTTAAAATTGGTTGATAGCTATTTTTCTTTTCAAAAAATAAGAATTTATTTTCAAATTCACATTTAAAATTAAAAAAATATTACAAGATTCTCATTAACTTCAGTACACTGAAGAATTTTCTGTGTGAAAATTACTTTTAAAAAGAATAAAAAATAATTTTAAATTGATTAAATCTCGTTCTACTTAACAGTAGTTTTTACCTCAAGTTGGATAATTTCTACCACAGTTGTCACTTGCTCTCAATTACCTGCGATTCAGAGTAATTTTTATCTAAAAATTTTATCTCTATATATATGAAATAATTTGGAAAATGTGTCTTGCTAGAATCTTTCATCTCATCTTGATGTTAGTTGAAGACTATTCTAGTTGTGAGACATAATTGAATTATAATATCATGTAAAGCATGTTCTATTCTTTAAAAATGATTCAATGCAAATTACTGCATACCAGTGTATATTCTCTGGTTTGTGGTTATAAAACCATCACTGTTTAACTTGGTGCTATTATTATCACTCCAAATAGTAAATATTCATTGATTTATTTTTAGAAAGTATGTGAGTTCTGAAAGCTCATCGACAACAATTTTTGTCTTGATAAAGCCCAATGATAGATTTAATATTCAAACATCACATCTGTATCTCCAACTGACATGCAAGTTGAAATTTAACTCATTTTATCCAATTGTTCATTTAGAACATGAGCGAGAAGTTCTTTTAGAAAATTTTCTGGCAGACTAAGTACCACTTTTTTAGCTTTTAGAGGCTTAAAAACAGGAAGCTTTTAGACCTAAATCAATACTTTGTTTTAATCACTGTATATGTAGTGAATAAATTGATAAAGAATAAAAATCTGAACTCATTTAATTATTGATCAATAATAAATCAATAATACTTATTAAAATTATTATTTACTTAAATATTTCTAGAAAATAATTGAATGATTTTAAAATAATCACATACTTAACTTTGATAGAAATATTTTAATCTAAAGCATTGAAATTGTTATCAATATAAATTGTCTCAGCAGTTTTGAATAATGAAATTTTCATAAGTATGATAATCTCCTGTGAATAATTAAGGAAGCTTTTACATTTATACAGTTATTTATTTATTGACACTGAATTATGATAAAATTTTAATAGTCTCTTGCTAGTTATCAAAATGTAACAGAAAAATTATTGAAAAAGAAAACATTCATCAAAGTTAATAAATCTACATTCAATCTTTCACTGCTAACCTACTTCCTCTAGTCATATCATATCTCTTAGACAGTTACTGAGATTGAAATCGCATGAATTCAAATGCATATTTATTAATAGCCAATAAATTTATCGAATAGTGATAAATAACTATTTAATCTTATGTTCAGATAACAAATATTTTAAATAGTGACGAAAATAAGTTATCTTAATATTCAAGATAATCAGTAATTTATTTATGCGAAACTCCATTGGAAAAAATGACCAGTGAATTAAGATGTATCTCGGATATAATCGTAATTCACTCGATAAGATTATTAAATATTTATAATCAATAGTAATTAAATGAAACAGTTATTTGTTGAAGTGAATGAATGAATATTAAATTCATTCATAAATGAAATTCGCAATGAATCATCTTTTCATAAATGAAATAACTTCACATAAACATGTGTTTTACAATATAGTATGTAATAATGTTATCAATCTTTTTAAGGAAAGGATTAAAAAAATTAATATGATTAATATTTTTACAATATGTGTAAAAAATTGTAAATAAAATATGATTGTTAATTATAGTGGAATCCTTTTGCCTTGGCAGATATATAAAATAGCTCTTCGTCATGATTATCTCATTTAATTTCGCTGACTATACCAAGTTTGTGTGAAAATAATTTTTAAAAACCCTTATAAGAGTTCTTACAAATTTATTCACTCTGCAAATATTCCCGTATTAAATCATTCATTTTAAATCTCCTTTACAGGACAAGCAACTCGAGAGAAAAAAGCATTTATGGACTTAAAGGAGCGTTGAAGAAGAAAAAATAAAATAAAATAAAATTTATTGGTAAAGGGAAAATGGAAAATGCAAATTTTTATTTCACATTTCGTAGAAGTTTTGAAGCAGAAGTAAAATTATCGTTATTGAACGATCACCAGGTGGTGTGAGCTCTCTCGCTTGTACCCAACGAATTCGTTTCGCTTGCCAGGAAAATATACTCGCTTTCTGTTGGTTGTTTGGTCGCGACAGACTGCGTTCAACGCCGGTGCTATTACAATTCTAACTCGTGCCTATACGTGTCCCACGAGTCACGCCGCCTGTTCACTTCCGCGCGACGTGATTTTCATTCGAAAATCATCCGAAAATTTACTAGAAATCGGCTTTGTTTTTTTTTCTCCCTTTTATTGCTGGTGTACATCCGGGTGTCAATTGAATATTCCTCGAATAATGTTGAAAACGAGGAAGCCTCGATTCATAACTATTGCGTTGCTCTCTTTCTGCTTACCATCCAGCTTTAAATTTTCAACATAAATACGCGGAAATGCATAATCTATTTGTTTTCAATTTGACGTCATGTTGAAGTCAAAAAGGGGAAATGGTATCCGCAAAGAATTGCTGCAAGTTCAAGTCGTGTTTACGCGGTGTTTTTTTGATTCAGTACTGGCGACGTTCGTCTTTGAAAGAAAAGAAAAATAAGAAAGAACGCGTCGACGAGGAAAGACTTGCGTGTTGTGCTGACGCCACCCCCGCCGTTGATTCCCCACTGGCGCCAGTGTCCCGATGCATCCGTACTAGATGCACCCCGCAGTCTCGTACGATCCGAGAGACCGAGTCCAGCTGTGTTTCTCTCCCTCCAGCAACACACTGTGCGCAATCCATTGTATCTCATTTGTGAAAATCTTTTTTTTTCTTGCTTCTTTGTTTGTTCTTTTATTCTAAACAAAAACGAAATTTTTCATTAAACTCATCTCTCAGTGTTGCTATTGTTAAGACTTGAGCTTCATTATACCAGGGTGACCCGTCTTGTGCATATTATTTTTTCAATCCTGTGCAATATTCATTCATTCTGAAATTACCAGATACACATTTTATAGGTAACAAAATCATTTTATATTCCATCATTCCTCTTATCATTATTCCCACCCATTATTGAATTTAATTACCATATTTTAATCGGTCATTTAATCTTTAATTATTGACATAAAATCAATAAAATTCATTTCTGTACCATTGATTAAATTGTTTTCCTAGAGCAATGATTGGAAAGGTTAATTTCTGGAAATTATCTGTAAAATAATTCCGATCATTTCATTAACGCTCAATATATTTGTCACGACTTATAAATCTAATAAACAATTGATGACTAAGACATTGTCGATATCAATTTCAATCAAATACACGACAAATTTAGTAGTGGTAATGTCTCTGTAGGACATTGAACATTGTATAATTCCCACTTGGACACGTTTTGAACTGGGTCGTCTTCGGAGATATATAATTAATCGAGTGGACCAGTCTAGTGCTCTTCAGTGTTATTCCTCGATCAATTGTGATCGTCTACAAAACATCTTAAATAATGCATTAACATTACGATCTAATCAGCTAAATATTTAACATTAAATTAACTTGTATCATTTGTCTTTGAATATTTCAGATTTTTTCCTACAAGTTAATGACCCTGCTGTCATTTATTTATTGTTTATGGCTTTTGTTTGCACTTCCTTTTCCTGAAATTATGCTTAAACAAACTGTCACTCTGACAACAAGTGCGTGTGAATAATTACTACATATTAAAGGGTTTATTGTATGAAGATCAACATGCTGAAATTCTGTTCACCAAGTCAACGAAGACGTAGTATTATGGTGAGAACTCCAAACACGAATTTATTGGTCACTATTATTCACATGAAGGCACGGTTTGTGCAATCAACTAGAAAATATTGACAATAATCGTAAAGTTTTATAGCTGTTTTAAAGGATTTTAATAATAATAAAGACTCCTATTATGGCTTAAATTTACTCTGAAATCTTATCAAATATTTCTTAGTACTTCAGTCTCCAATACTCATAAAAATTATCGTCATTTCTGTTTTCATTATTTTCACATTTTTGTTTAAAACTATACCTCTATTAATTATATTTATTATCCATAAAGTTGAACTTTTTATTAAAAGCCTTCTGTTGTTTCAGGTAAATCCCGGTTCAAAAGCTGCTCAACAAGGAGTTCGAGAAGGCGACCTTATTAGTAGTATTAACGGACGAAATACTTCAGATTTAACTAATGTAGAAGCTCACACACTTTTACGAAACGCCGGGGATCAGCTTAAACTAGGACTCAATCAGTAAGTTTATATATGTTTGCTTCTGACTTTAAAGTCATTCAAGTATAAATGATAAAAATACATCCGACTATTGATTATGTCGCTTGCTAGTATTTATTGGAGTATGAACTAAAAGTGTCCAACTATGATAAATAATAAAATTCATATATGTACTTGGTAATTAATTATTCCGATAATATCGTGTTATGCACTGAGCCATATTGACAGCAACATTAGCAAGATTAGTTTCCAACATAAACTTAGTCTTCTATTGTGTGATTTGATAATTCGAGATGAAAGTTGGATAAAATCATGAAATAATAAACTAGTAGAGAGATTTATTAAGTCATTCGTGCATTTTTTATTTCATACATGAAAGAGTTTTATGATAATCGTGATTATTTAAAAAAAAAAAATAAGTTGACACGTTTTTTAAGTTTTCATGATCTTATTCTCTTTCTAGTGATTCATTAATGTATCAATTATACATCAAAGTATTTTTGGACTAAAATTTAAATTTCATTTTGCTGGTAAGGAATATGATGTTATAGAACTCTGTTACTATTATTAAACCATACAGAAAGCATAACTGATCTTATTAACGTAACCAACATGATAATCATATTTTATTTGGACAAAAAAGCTGACGAAAAAGCTTGAAGAAAGTCTAGTTGACGAAAGCTTACCATTACGGAATTATATTCATAATTTATTATCCGAACTTTAATTGGAATTTTATGTGGTAGGAAAATTCCTTGAATTATACATAGGTAAATAATCTAGGTTGAATCAAAGATCTGAAAAAATTCTCATTGGTCGATTGGTAAAAGTATGCTCTTACAGGTTTGATGAAAGAAACTTTATCTCGATTAGTTTCCTTTTAATTACTCACTTACTTTCAAATCTTTTTTTTTTATTCGGAAAAATTATAGATAGAGTTATTGACATTATCAATGCAAAGTGATTAAATTTTTGTGATTCATTTTTTTGAATTGTTGATTTTGGAAGTTGAATTATAGAATTAAAGTAACTTTTTAAAAGTGAAAATTAACTTATCTTTTATCAATTACCATCATGATCAAAAGCTTTGGAATATATCCAGAGTTAATAACTGAAAAGAGATTGATTTAAATGATTCAATATTCAGTGAGTGCAATTTTCTTTTTGATGACCTTAGAAACGATAGTTCTTCCAATCATCTATCATTATCTACTAATGGATCATTATTCCTACAAAATAAAATTTCATGACACATTGTAATAAAATTAAATTAAGTGGAAAACTGAAGATGAACAAAAATTAAGAATCACTTAAATATGATTTTTTTAAATACATTTTTAAATATGTAGTATTAGTAGGGGAAGACGAAGCAAGACGGATCTATGGTGCAAGATTGCTTTTTTGATTTTTGGTAACTCAGTGAGGCAAAACGAATCCTCCAAAGCTAATAATACGAAAATTAACATTGATTTGAAAATATGCTTATCGTTCAAATTGCATTATTATATGTATAAGTCATTTTAAAATTCAAAAAGCCGTCTTGGCTCATGGATTCGTCTTACCCCCCATTCCCTTAATACCTGAATAAATGAACAACTAGGAAATTAAGTGTATCATATGTGTCGCAATAATATGCATTAAAAGGTAAATACACTAATTTTTTTGTTAAACTAATATTATAAAATTTACTTAAGTGGACTCTAAAGAGATCGATAATTTTATCTCACTCAAAAAGATATCTCATTTACTCATATCCAGTTCAAACGGAACTTTTTTAATCATAGAAGTTCGGGTTGTTAAACATATTATACACATACTGATTTCCTGTCGTGTTTAATTAGCTTTTAGTGTCATTTATCGCTAAAATACTATTTAATAATTTGTTGAATACATTTCAAGTCATTTTTGAACAAAAAAATAGACACAAGCAATTATATAGATTAGTCAAACATTAAAACTGTTAGATGTTCAAAGAAGAAAAGTAATTAGACCGTTTGCAAATAAACACATTGCAACATGTACTAAATGATTATAATTAGCTTTAGTTGTGAAGTAATTTGTTAACTTGCTTTTTAAAAATTATTGTTTTTTTATTTATTCAGCTAATTTCAGTAATAGTTAATCAAATCAATATCAAGCGATAATTACAAAAATTCAGACTAAAATAACATTATTTCAAGATATTTTTTATCATCCTGATATTCTTTTTTTCATAAAAATAGAAATAAATGCATATTCAAGTATCATACAAAAAAATTTCCGATGTCAAACTCTCCAATCAAAATATTTTTTAATTACTGCAAATATACTGCATTAATTGATGAGAAATCGATACAACAAGAGAAAGAATTCCTAAGGATTCTTTTTATCTGATAGTTATATTCTATTCATAAAATCGGTTGATAGAAAAAAAAGTAAATTAATCTCCGTAATATGAGAAGCTATATTTTAAATTAAATCAACCTTACATAACCAACACAATACCATGAAATATAATAACTAAGTATTATTTTTTAAACATTTATAAATATAAATTCTTCTGATCTGTACGATCCAAGTACTCCATTTAAAACTCATTTCTCTTGTCAATACTAATTATTGATTATTTATGTAATGATGAGAAAACTCAATAACAGAAGAAGTTTGAGAAAAGCTTGAAAATAGATATAACCCAATTTTCAAATAAAATATGCCAGTAAAAATCCTGATAGTGTGAGGAACAAATACTCAGAGGATTCAGCATTCGTGGCTGATTGGGACAGGAAGTTCTGCCAGTGGGGGATGCGGGGTCACTTGGGGACATCATGTGATGAAGGAGCGCCATAGTGCCATTTGTATTTATATTTTCCGCTAACCTGGATCAATTGTTCAGTTTCATATAAATATACAGACATATATATATGGCATATGTAAAAACGGTGTACAGTTGTATGTGTATAAAGAAAGAGAAAAAAAAACGTGTGTACCGACTCGGAACGTTTCGCTACTGAATGTATTGGGTCTAGTCTCTAGGAATCCGTGACAAATGGCTTCTCGTTAATGTACCGTATACTCTTCCGAAATTATCATTTTTCTGTGCATATGAAAAACTTTTATGCAGTGAATTAATTTTTTTTTCCCTTTGTTCCTTTTACAGAGAATCTGTTGGATCTCCCAAACGACGAATATACAAAAGCAGCCTTCAGGAAAATACTTCTATCGAAACGCTACAAAGTGAGTAGATGCAAACTAAAAACTTGAATTGCTATCAATTTTAAATGTAAACAAAAAAAAAATTTGTAAGTAATATCCAATATATTGTTTTATTTATTACTTGATTGTATTTTTTTTTTATCCAGAGACAACGAAAACGACAACCACGGCAACGAGAATAATATCGTCCGAAACAAAGAGGAACGGAACTGGTAAGTGGTTAGTAGAAAATTCAGAGCGACATCCTGAAAAATTGTCGGGTAAATCGATGTGTGTGTACATACATTCATTCGTATATCTGTATACATACTTACCAACTTTCATCCAACTTGAGAGCCCACGAAAAATTACTCTATCCCATTATCTCCTTCTTTACTGAAACAACCCTCAATTCGTCAGAAGTCTAGTTTAACGAGGTGGTTGCATCGTTAGCGTCAAGAAGCTCTCACGTGGAAGATTATGAAATTACTTGCCAAAGATGTCCGCGATCTCTTGACCATCCTCTTCAAAATCTACTTTGTACCAAAAACCATATTGCTCGAGAAGTCCTACACAACTTTCCGAAGGGGAGTTTACGTGAGCCAATAACCTTTTTCTCGCCTATCTCAACACGAAACATTATTGTTCCTTGTTAAAGGGGATTTCTGTCGCCACAGGCTAATTAATTTTTCCAAGGATTACTATTAAATTTTATGCAGACAAAACATGCTGGGGTAATGGACCCATGGTTATTGAGGGGCTCTTGGTAATTAACATTGCATTTTTCCTTGCTTCTGTATTCCATATTTTTTTTTTATTCCATATTTTAATATTTTCCTCTTAATTTCATAATTTATCAAAATTTTTTAATGGAAGGCATTTTAACATAATTTACTGGTGAGCCGATAAAGTTTTGTCAAGAAGATTGAATTTATTTTATTAAATCATTGATTCCTCCATTTTTTCTTAGGATGAGAGATTAATTAATTCAATCAAATATGTATCAATATCATACTATTATATTCATTAAATTATACGTTTGAGAATTTAAAGTTAATTATATGCTGAATATTGATAGCAAATTTTGAATCATATTCATTCATACTTAGTTTTTATACTAATAAATAAATTAATTAATGTATCATTGAAATTTGAAATAGCTTATATTATTGCAAATTTCATAAAACAATTTTGGAATTTTAATTAAATCAATTAAAATTATAATATCTGCACTTTATAGAAATAGCAAATTTAATTTCAACTTCATTTTCATTTAAATTTGTCTTTAATTAATACAAAATTAATCGCAGCATTTTCTCGAAGTGAATATTGTGGTATTAAAAAATTTTTTCATTAACAATATGAATGAAAAATTTTGAAGAGGATACTTATAGTCTTCTAATGATACCAGAGTAATTGCTGCACGATCATTTGTTCAGAAGTTATGAGAGTTTAAACTCAAAAATGAATTTTGCTGCTTGCACAACTGATAACTTTGCTAAAGAAACTATTCTGAAAGATGGAAAAAAGTCATAAGATTTAAACTATTCTTTTTTATCTTTCCAGACATTGTCGAAACTTAAAATAGATTCCAGAGACTTTCATACTTTTTTTTTCTGTCAAACAGTGTCTATTAACAAAAGAGAAATATATTAAATCAATTATATTAACACATAGAAGGAAATAAAAGCTTGAGAACATCTTTTGATTCACTGTAATCCAATAATTTTTCATTAAGATACAACGATTTGAAACCAAACGTAATTACTGTAATATTTCCTTGATGTATCAGATGTACCCCAGTCATTCTGACGTCGAAAAATCGATAAAACAACCAAAACAGCACGAAACAATACATTTTGTTGCTAATGTTGTATCATTGTTACGGGTCGATAGCCGCAGTAATAAGTATATTATTCAAGAGGGAGAGAATATATGCGAATGATATGACTAGAAGGTAAACATCATATAACTCAGTGAAGCGATATACCGATGCAGGTTTGAGATACAGGTACACGCCTATTTCAATTCTTTTCCAAGACATATACATGAACTAAAGAGTTTGACGAGGGCCGCACCTTTACCACTTAATGTCCTGGGTAGTCTTGAAGTAGAGAGCATTGCTCTTCATGCTTTTCGGGGTCTTTCAGTCGTCTTTGCGAAGCAGTTGAGTATTGTACTCAAGAAGTCTTGTTGTCACGTGTCTAATTAGAATTAATTGGAGTTAATAATCTAGAGTGTAGGAATAGCAAACAGTCCAAAAAATGATGACATATGATGGGAGAGGTAGATCCAGTATTGGAGGTCAATTGGATCTTGTGTTCAGTGATGTGGAACTTGATTAATAGCCAATAAAATACATTGCGTGATTGATATAAAAAGACATTTGATTCTATTGAAGATGTTACTTTCATTATGAAATGATTTTATGTGAATTTGATTGAGTTTGAAATGTGTTGCAGATGTTAGACTGACTGGATATATATCTCAAGAATAAAATTTATGAACAATTTATTGATTGAATAATTGAATTATCGCGTTAACTAAGAGATAGTAAAAGTATTTTACGACAGTTTTGATAAAGTTTTGAATAATGAAATTCCTAAGTTGCTCACAGTGTCTCACTGGCATTGAAGAGACACGATCCTCCGTCATGTCGAATCCTCCTTGCGATCCTCTCTTGATCACAAAGCGACCAACTGCTAGGATGGCGGCTGGGAATTCCCATCGGAGGACATCTATCCCCATGGAATGCCATAGTACAGAGAGACGGGTTGTTCAGCTTCCAAAGATGCTGAGGACAGCACTAAATGCAGCATCCCTGCGACGACGTAGAAAGCCTAAAATAAGTAGCAAACTTGAGACTTGGAAAAAAATCAAAAAGCGAAATCTTTTGAAGAGGAAAGCGTTAAATATTTCAGACGCAGCATCTTCATGTGATGATAAAATTTTTAAAACTAAGAGTCTCAAGAGTGGCATAAAATGTACCTTTGAAGATTCCGTGGATGAGCATAATAAAGCAGGCATCTTTGAAGATTGTTTCAGTCTTGAGTGCAAATATTATGAACATCTCGAGGCACTAAGGTTTTTCACGAGTCCACGACAATCGTTTACCAACTCCTGGTATTCTTGCAACAAACTGAATAGCTTGGACTTTCGACGGATGAACACCATCGCCATACCAGACGAATCGAGTTGGAATATCGGCAAATTCCACAAGAAGAAGTTTGACGTAACGGAGCGTGAGATGCACGCCAAGTATTTTCTCGATAGTGTTAATCGAGTTATACAAGAAAATCGTAAAATTGAAGAAGCAATGATGAGTATTTTTCAACATGAGCCAATTGTTAAAGGGATCACCAAGTCGTGTTTAAATCGTGAACATTTTCTACCTCATAGCCACAGAAAAGAAGTGAAAAGTGTTCGTTTTCAATTAGATGACGATGATGATGATGATTACTCTTCTGGTAAAAAAAATATACAACATATTTATGATTTACATTCGTCATCGCTGGAAAAAAATTCAGATCATAAATCACATAAAGTAGAGCAGAATAATTTTCAACTTTTCGCTCCCGGTGATGGTAATACCTTCGAGGGAATAAAAGAATATCGAGAAAATAATGAAGCTATTGGAGATCCAGTTAATTGCAAAGTCAACTATCAGACTACTGTTAAGAATCGTGCAACCTTAAATATCAAATTGGAAGCCAACAATTTTCCAATATCTGGTCAGACATTGACCAATCCCAATGAACATTTCACTCATCCATTAAATCGATCAGATGTCATAGACAAAAATGGTAGGTTGAGTAATATCTCACTATTGGAAATTGGCTGAGTAAGAAAAACAGAAATAATATTGCCAACTCATGTTCAATATCTATGACATTTCTCAATTATATCTGGTATTATTGAAGCGTGGATATAATCACATATTCCTATAAGTCATGCATAATTACCATTGGTAATATCTAAAATAAATCGATTTTGGTGTATCAATAGTTAATCGATACACGATGTGAAACTGGGATCCTCTTAAACAGTAGGCAATGTGATGTGTCCGCCCAAACATGGGTGCGTCGTCGTCATGGCCTAAAGGAGCCGAGCCCATGTAGAATATCCGTCCCTCGTCCTTCATCCTCTAGAATTCACGTGATTTGCCCTTCCCTCTTGTTTTCTCGTCCCTTTAATTGATCGATTTATGTGCTTCCACTGGATTACGCCATAGCTACATCCACACGCACTACTTCGCTTCCGGTTTTCTGCCTGACAACCTCGTAAAGAGAGAATTCGTCAAGTTTTTTTGTCATTTATTTTATTTGTTCACTCGATAATTGTGTTACCTTTATGGTCTTTTTTTTTTGTTTCCAAATGAACTCTCTGACTAATAAAAACGTTTCAATTACTTGAGCTCATGATTTTATTAACGCTGCTACTGCTGTCGTTTAATTAGAAAATATATAAAAATACTTGAATTCTTTTTTCTCAACCTTTACTTTAATGATTGATTCATCTATTGATCAGAATTCCAACGGAAAGAGTATCAATTACCAAGCATCTCTTATTCTTGGAGTTCTGGATAACGTTTAAGTGAAGATGCAGCCGCAGAGGAAATTATCCAGCCCTTACCTCAGTCTCGAGAGGCGAAACCTAATTAAATAGTCTCAGCACCAGTCTTCTACTGTGCTAAGAGAGAATGAGAGAGAAAGACAAGATGAGGCCAATGGCAACGTCCGCTACTTCTAATGAAGACCATCCACTCGTAATTCAATCAAAAGTTGAAACTTGCTAGCAGAATCCCTCAACCATGAGATAGACACTCCGGAACTGTGTCAATATAATCTGTCAAATGTTTAAACTCTATTCTCTCGTAGCTACAAAAATAAAAAAAACACTCACGTAACAGAGACGATAATCGGCGTTGATAGGTAGGTTTTATGGATTGTATCAACAATTGGAAATCCTACAGATTTAGAGGTTGCCAATTTTAAAAGTATTTCTTGTTTTATTCTGTCGTGTTTTGTTTAGGGTGAAGTAGGTTAATTTATAGTAGTTTGAATGTTGTTGTTTATTGATCAAAAGTAATCCTGATGGAATAAAATTGTTAACAGCATCACATTAATATGAAAAATTGGTTGAATCATTTTATTTTTTAAAATGAGTAGACAAAGCACCAGGCAAAATGAAAGGTTCTCGAATAAGATGATGTATGAATAAAATTATTGGAAAATTAATAGCGTCATTTTTTACTTTCGTACATGAATTATACACTCTTTCTTTTTACAAATAACTCATTACATACAAAACTCTATGTGAATTTAGTTTTAACAATATATTCAAGAACTTTCTGAAATAAAATTGACAAAATTTTTATATTAATAATAATTTAAACTGTAATTAAATTCTGTATCCATTCATTTCTCATGAAAACTTGATATTTTTATTATTATTATTATTATTATAAATAATAAACATCATTTCAAAAGAATTAACAGTACAATGACATTTTAATATACTTTTGAAATATTTCTTGAATACTTCATCTTGCTTGGAATTTTTTTATTAACATTTTTGTTGTTACATTTGAATCACAACTTTCAAGATTTCATTTAAAATTGTAACTCAATTTATTTATTGTCTTCAAATTCAATGATAAAAAATTTGAATTTTTGAGGTGTGTCTATTTGATGGTAATTTATCATACTAAGAAGCTAAGAGGCATAAAAAAGTTTAAAATGAGAATATGAATAAAATCAACAGATTAAAATAATTGAAAGTCACCTTGTTCATTATTTCCGCTGGATAAACCATCTTTGCGTCAAGCGATGTTGCTTTTTCAGTAATTGGCGTGTCACTAGGTAATGCAATAAAAGTGTTGGAATATGTCGATGGGCGAATTTTTTACGGAAGTAAGTGCGTATAAAGCATGGAGTTCTCTAAATGAGGGGAAAAAGTCATGAAATATGGGCGAATAGAATGGTGCAAAAGCAGGGAAGAGAATCAAAGGGGAGAGTACACATCAAGTGTAGACTGAGTGAGCTTACATTGTGCTACTGTGCTGTGCTATACGGACGGAAGTTCGTCTCGGAAGTGGCACTATACATGCTCATGCAAGTACTAAACATTGAGAGTGGGACGCGCAAACGTATACATAAGAGTCATGCTAACGTCTATCCCCATTTTCCATCAGAGTCTGCAAACGTTTGTTGGAAGGCGCGTTCAATGTTTATGTGTGCACAACTGTGCCCTCATGTTAATTCTCAACGCGGGTGTGTTCGTTACTCTCATCAGTATACAACAGCGAGAGTCACTTTTGTAACTTTGTGTTGTTTAAGAGAGGAAGGGGAATGATCCATACGATCCACCGCGTGGACATCATCACATTCTGAGTGTACTTACGACCCGAGCTACTAGTCAAGACGAGTTCCCGGGTTGCATTCTGTCATTTCGCTTTTTCCATAAATCTCTACTTCGCAAGTGATTATTTTTTATCTTCGTATTCTAAGAGACCATGGAATTAGAATTTTATCTCTAACATCGTATTCTTATCACCTTTTTTAAAAATTCTACGCAGGTCAGAATTAATTAATTATTGCCCTCAGTCCAAACAATTTTTATTAATTTTTTTTCGTTGTTTGAAATAATTATTTTTCTCTATACAGTTTGATAGGTCAATTATTTTTCAACAAGTTATTAAATTAGAGAAGAAACAATGTTGAAATTAAATGCTATTTATTTTTAATTGTCATTGCTAATTAAATCTTTAATTCTTATGATTTCCATTAGCGTGATTTTATTTGTTTGAAAGATAAATAGCTTTTAAAACAGCAGTTTAATGTAATTAAATCGAGTAATGATGCTTTTTAAGTGCATTTAAAAAGCTTTGTACTCATTAGGTACGTCAACACAATAGTAAATCCGTTATCGAGTCGAAGAGACAGACATCCGTGACTAAGAACACGGGTTATTTCCATAGAATTATTTTCCAACACTTGCAACAAATCTTTCTCTCACTCCCATAGTTTCACTTGCTATCTCTTCTATCTTCCACAGTACTTGCTCATACCCTTTTGTGCATCTCGACGTCTGCCTCTCATTCACTCCACGCTACGTTGGCCATGGATAAATGATTTATATACACGATGAACGATCGTTGTATTCTCAGTTGAAAGCAATTGTTTCTCGACGTCGAGAGTGTGCAAGAGATAAATGTCTTTACAATATACCTTAATCAGTCAATGATAAATTCACACTCGACTTGTTACAGATGACACGAGAAGCGAGCACGATTTTACAAATCAAAACGGGACTCTAAAGACTAGCGAATACTCGGAGAAGTGCAGTCAGAATCAAGAAACGACTAAGAGTGAGTAGAGATTTTATTACAGAAAGTAAAATTAGAAAAAAAATTCCAAGATGTGTATAAAGATATAAAAAAAACCGTCTGACCATAATTACAGTGTACAAGAGAGCTGTTTGTTGCATGCTCACATTGGCTATGTTTTCTTTTTCATTCACTATCGGAACTTCATGGTAATTAGCACTCGATCGGTTTCTTACCGTGGGGAAATTAATTGCGCGAAAGATCGGTTTGCTGTTCCATGAGATTTATCGTGCGTTCATTTATTCGTGAAATTCATTTTCTCCCTTTGTTTATTTGTGTAACAAATAGTAATCTTAAACATTCGCGAGTGGTAAGTGCTGATCAGAATAACATGAAGCTTGTCATTTCTAATTTATATTTACTATGGAATTGGAGAAAAAAGGATTTATTTTTCAATTTATCTAAATAATTGTACTATTTGCATTTTATAGTTTAATATCCGGCCAAAAAAAAAAACAATTTTTTTAAACAAAATTCTGCACTAATACATAATGGAATAGGGGCTTCTAACCGCAGTTTCTTCCTCGACCCAATCAGCCAACTGGTAAAAGAATCAACGTCAAGCCCGTCAAGCTCCAACAGAGTGTTTACAGCTCCACGTAAATCCCAACGACAGCCTTGATTGTACGAACAAGTCCGCAATGCCACACAGTTCACGCGCACGAAAAACTCGACGTAACCGAAACAAACGAGTGAAGTATCGTCAGGTTAACACGAGATCCGATGATTACTCACAACAACCCAATACCAACGAGAAAAATAACGACAGCTGTGAGATTAAATGTGATCAACATCCACTATTAGAGACAGTGACTAAGGATCCTGAGGCCGAGAAAGTAAATGAAAGCACTAAAGAGGTGGAATCGATCGATGAGAGTATTAGTCGAACAATTAGGGAGGTTGCAGGGAATTTAGTAGAGGCAAAGGTCAACAGTCATGCGGTCAAGGTGGCAAGTGAGGTCGAACCGTTGTCAAGTACCACAATCAGATCGATATCAGGTAACCATGTATCAACTAGAAACAAGCAAAAGTTGGAACGTCGGTTGGTAAATAGTGAGGTAAAAATTTGTGAAATCAGTAGTGTAAGTGGATCACCTCTTACAGCAAGTATTGGCCATATGACTGGTGTAGGTATCTTGCAGACTAAATTAATCAACCAAGAGCACCAACACGATTCGATTGTGACAATTTCAGAGCCTGTGGAGCCACTTAAGCCATTGCCTACTGATGTTGTTTTGAGGGTCGAGACCCTTGGCAAGTCCACTGCCCTGGGATTCTCGCCAGCTAGTGAGAAAATAAATAAGGACGGACCGGAGATTCATGAGGTCACCGATAGCGATGTAGAGACTACAGAGTTCTGTAAACCGAGCCTTGTTGTTGAAGTTGACAACGAAAGAGAATCAGCTGAGCATGAGATTAAAGATGCCATTCTTGAAGAAACGTCCACCGACAACTCTGTTGATGAAGGAAATGAAGAAAGTATTTGTGAAGAAGATAATAATGAGGAAAATAGTGTAGAAATAGCTTCTAATGAACTGTCTAATGATGAAATAACTATGCAAAATAATGACCAGATGATTGAAGATGGTTTAATAAAAATGTGTGGTGATGGAGGTGGAACAAAAAACATGATTAAAGTGAAAAACGATAAAATTAAAGATATAGTAAAAAATGAAAACTTTCAAAGTCGAGAGGTTTTGTTAGACAAAAAAAATGTGAGCAAACCATTGACTTTTATTGATGAAAGACGTGATTTACAAGATTTTGAAGAAAACAACCTGTTGAATAATCCAAATATTCGAGAGAATGAGGAGAAATCAAATGATAATATTCTTCAATGTAAATCAAAAAGTAAATCGATTTTAAATAATTATTTTTCTTCAGCTGGTGAAAGGTTTTTAGATATTATTCATGAGGAGAGTGAGAGATTGTCTGGTGATGAAGAGCAACATATTCGTGATTTTATAAATGGAGAAATTGCTAAATTTAGAAGAGAAAAACGATCCCTAAATGAAAGACGAGAAGAAAGAGAGGAGGAAGAGGAAGAAGAAGAAAAGGATGAAAAGGAGAGAACAATTGAAGTTAGTACAAGTAGAAGTGAAGATTTACAAGTGTTACATGAGACTGAAAAAAATTTCCTTGTTAATGAGAATGCAAAATTGCAGGGTGAAATTTCAAACAACACTGAGAAGAAATTAATTTCGAACAATGGAAAATTTTATTCATCCAACAGCTTTGAGAGTTTTGAGCTGAAGAGTAAAGAAAAGAAAATATTGGATTTAGCAGACAATGCACGACAAGTACCAGAGCCCCCCAGGAGGTCTTCTAGTTTCATCAACAAAGATGTAGTTGAACCTATACGACCCCCTACGCCTCTTCAGGTTGATGATTCTCCACCTCCTCTCCCATCTCCACCGTCTTTATCTCAGTATACATGCCTCACACCATTCAACCGAGTTAATCAATTTGCAGAAGACAAATCCGGGGATAAACCGAAGAATCCATCCCTCCCAAGCTTCTTGTCCAGTTCAAATTACACCGCTGATACTCCTTTAAACTTGGGGATTACGCACGAGATTGAACTGAAAAGAGAAGAAGGTGACAGAGAATCGATAAAAAGAGGCACGCAAGACTTATGTAATAACACGGATGAATCTAACAAAATTGGCAATGACGACGTCGACGAGACATCTCGCCTTGAAATAGCGCATGATCATGTTGACTTAAGTGCCACGATGTCGTGGAAAATCTCAGACGCCGGCCACTTGAGTGCGTGCGAGTCACCGCGTGAGCTATCATCGTCACTGAAGAGTGCTGCCGCGACTACTGTTGAATATCGACGTGAGACAAAGAATCAAGACGAGGTCGAAAGTTCGCGACCCTTCCAAGTTCCCAAAGTGGTAGCAGAGAAGCAGAAGGTGATAGGAAAGAGCCTACTTGAGACGCGAAAGCTTGAATGTGCTTACAAAAAAAAGTATGAACAAAATCCAAAGAATCCGTCCTTCAAGGTCGAGAATGAGATCAAAGAATTTCCTGAGCGTCGAGAGCTTGGTAGTAGTGAAGTTTTAAAAGTAGTCGAATCTGAGAATATCGAAAAATTGCAAGAAAAATATATAGACAATAATTTATGTCATGAAAAATTTTTGGAGACGGTGGAGCAAAAAATAGACAAATGTCATGAAGAGAAAATAATAAATGTATCATTGGATCGTGAAGTAAAAGTAAAAAATAACAATGAGAGTGAGTTGAATGAATCACAAGAGGTCGCTGATAATTTAGAGAGATGTAAAAATTCTGTCGAGAGTGTAAGTACTGATTTTTCATTAAAAAATATTGATGAGAGAGGACAAGAGTCTTCTAGTAGTGCTGCATCGCCAAGCACCGTTAGATATGTGCCTGAAGACACCTGTGACATAGATTTGGTTGAAGCTGATGTAGCAGACGAGGAAAGTTTACCAAAACTAAAGCTTAAACTATCGGAGAATTTAAATAATATTTCTGAAACGTCTTCCTCGCCACAACCAATTCCATATTCACCCGTCGAAGAGCTTTACTATGTGCCGTTGAATGAAAATGACTTGGTTGGAATAGAGAAAAAAAATTCCGACATCAAACCTAGTTTACTGAAGGACCTTTGCATCAAGAAAATCCTGTCAATGCCTTATGGTGCTCAAATAATCAGAGAGATAACTCTTCCGAAATTCAATATTTTCCAGAACTTAAAGACGATTCAAAAGACGCTGGAAAATTTTCAAAGTACAAGCGAAGAGGAGGTAAATTCTAGCAACGAGATGATGAAGAAGCGTCCAAAAAGTTGGATGGGCGTACCAACGAACCAAGATCCGCAGCTGCTCGTTTGTTTCTCACCCTCACAGCAGCAAGAGAACTGTGTACGCACGAGCGCGGACAAGCTTCTTGATCTTCACAAAAAGTTTCTCAACCGCCGTAGCTATCATGAACAAGTAGGAGTAGATGGTCGATGTGAGATCAAGGTACCCAAGTACCGTGTGGAAGTTAACTCGACCAAGGAATCCCAGGATTTGGAGAAAAGTGAGCGGAACGAATGGAACCAATCTAATCGAGTTACTGCGACGTCGTCGGCATCGTCGTCCAACCGACTCTTGGAGATCATAAAAGAAAATCCCATAGCTGCCGACGACTCACTACCTAAAGTCACGGAAACTCATAAAAATGTTAGACAAGATCGTTTAAAAACTACACGACTTGCAGACTGGTTAACTCTAGCAAGAAGTGAGTCTCCTTCAGCTGGCTATTCTAAATGTGAAAAAATTTCTTCAAGTCATTTGTCAACGGAACGACGTAGATACGGAAATGAAGTTCACCAGAATAATCCTCTCAGTCCAATAAAACATCCGGATACTTTGATGACAGATAACAAAGCCACGAACAAATGTATTTTCAACGACAGAAGTGGATCGAGTGGACGCGGACTGAATGATACTAGTCATCGTATTAACAGTGCTCTTATTATACAATCACCAGAGTGTCCGAATGAACGACAAAATGCTACACCACTGAACAAGACTCCAATTACTCAGAAGAGCGCGATAATCGACAAGTCGTCAAGCACACCTGAGCAACGTAAATGGAGACCGCAACCTCTTCGTGGTAGTATCGATTCACGACACGTGAATCCAGCTTTGATTAATGATAAACCTGAGACTCCACCAAGATGTCGACGATCTGTTACCGTAGACCGCTCGTGTATTGATAATACTAGTATCTTTGATAAAGCACCACCAAAAAATTATCTTGAACCACGAGGTTATGGTAATCCTGAAGCGCTCAAGCAAGTAACAGCAAAGGAGATTGTCGAGAACCTAAAGAGACTTAAGGTGCAAGGGAAAGATGTTAAGGACCAAATTGACGTGCAAAGAAGGCACTCACTACCACCAGAAATTTTTGATAGACAGTTGGAGTATATTGAGCGTCTTGAGGATCAACTAAAAGAGGTCATCTTGGCCGAAGAAGAGGAAGAAAAAGCCTTTAAAGAATTTCACGATCAGGTTAAGGCGGAAATAGTCCTGAATGAGAATAAAAATCACAGTAGTGTGTCAGAAAATGATGATGATAGTCGAGAAATCTGGCATGAAGAGTCAAGACTTGAGGATGGGGATCATATCAAGTACTTTAAAAAGGAAGGACATCAAGAGAAGAAGACAAGTGTGGTTGAAGAAGATGGACGACAAATTGAAAAGTCGATTCGAGTATTTGAAAATAAAGAAGTGAATCAAATGAGTTCGAGGAAGGAAAATACTGATGGTGAGGTTGGACTTGAGTGGAAAAGGTTCTTTGAAGATGGAGCATTCCCGGAAAAGATGCAAGATACACCACAAAAGTTTCATGATAATAAAATGAAGAAACGACCAAAGTCAATTTCAATTTTTCCCATGAGTGATGAAGTATTTCGATGTAAAATGTATGACGAATATATTGATAAAGTCTTAGAACGTGAAGAACGAAAGCATCAAAAAGTGATAAAGATCAGCTCTCACGTTGATTTAAATAAGTCCAGTGGAAAAAATTCAAATTCAAGTATGAATCCCATTGAGAAAGAATTTATAGAGAAAGCGAAAAATAGAATGAATAGATTTGGGATTAATTTAGATGATAGTGAAACTGAAGTGGTAGAAAAAAATACAGAAACAATTGTAACTGAAACTGAAACAAATATAACTAAAAGTGAATCTCATGAAGAAAGAGTCAAGTGTCTTATTGATGGCAAGGAAATCAAAGATGCAAGACAATTGCCTAAACATCTTCAGGAATTTCTAGTGCTAGCAGCAACTGATATTGGAGATGGTGAGTCATTTACATGGAAGTAGGAAGATTGGCTTCGTGCTCGTCATGTTCGATTGCTGTTGAAAATTGGAGTATGCTTCAAGAGTGTTATAGACCAATTTTAAAGTCGAATCTTCAATAGTTATTGCTAACAACCACTAACCCATTTTTTGACGTTTGTGTTGCTTTTATCTACTAAAATCAATTCAGAACAACCAATGTTTTACAAATTTTTTTGTGCAGAAATTTTATCGTAGTTGTTTTCTTTTTTTTTTTTAATTGGTTGAAAAAAAAACTATTGATCAATTAAAAAGGCAAGCCAATGCTAATCAGCCAACCGCCCGCGAATCATTACGTCATTAACAAATCTACAGTTGAGTTTATTTTTCACGACACGTTAGTAGAATCACAGTAAATAAAATAGAAGAGCACAGAGGTTCTCGGGCGTCGTGCTGATTCATGCTCATACACTTCTCTCTATATTTAGAGCGAGTAGAGTGTACAGGAGAAATAGGCCACTGGCTCTGGACTCTGAACTTCGTATCCCGGTTTACATCAGTACCATCGTCTAAGTTTTCGTCTATTTCCGAGCCTCTACGATTGAACATAGAGACAAGATTTCGCGAACAAAAACTATTTCACTGTTGCACGATCACACCCTTCTTCTAACTTAATATATTATCGAAGTCAGAATACATTAAAACTTTTGCTCGTCTTTAGTACCATAATGAAATAACGTAAATAGCTACAAGTTAGTTATTCACAAGTCTCTCAATCTTGGTACATAATCAATGCATTTCATTTCTTATCAACATTATTAAAAATTCTCGTGTATATTTTTTGTATTCTCTGTTAACTCCACTCTGCTTTTACTATCGAAATAGCTACGTTTCTTTTTTTCTTTTCCTCTTTTGTTCTCCTTTTTTTTCTTTCAATGCTACTCTTAGTCTTCGGCACTTGGGCATGCTTTTTGGTTGAAGGGTATGGCATTGCAACTGGAGAGAAAACGAATGAGGCCGATTTGCTGCACGAGATCGACACGGCTTTGAAAATCTCCCAAGGTTTTCTGCTTAACCAAGGTGCGTTTATATATTGGCATTTTTTTTTTTTATTGGATAACCATTGTATAGCCATTATTTATACGATAGTATATTAACAAATAAAACAAACAGTCTAGAATTTATTTAAATCATTAAATCAGTAAATTTACTCACTTATTTATTTAACGAGCACATTATTTACTTTTGTATAAGTAATATATGCATATAGAATTGGCGAAAAAGTATGGTGAAATGATTATTGTTCACAATCAACAGGAACATTCTCAATGCAGTTTTCCTCAATAAATTTCAACGTGACCATTTTACATTTATCCTCGCTCTCGTTAACTTCCATCACAGGTCATCGTTAACACGTTAGTGTCGATAAAAATATTCAGCTCGTTATTTTCACCAATTTGAACCTAAATAACTTTTAAATAGCTGCTCATCACTATCACAAGCGGCATTTTTTTTAACGACGTATTGACTTCAAAAATAAAAATCACGCATGGTAAAAAAAGGAAAAATAATTGACGAAAAATAAAAAAGTATCGGATAGTTTAACGAAGTGAAAGTTGAAAATTTTTTAAATAAAAGATTTCAATAAGAGCAGTGAAAATATTTTTCTTATACTTATAGATCGCAAAACAAATATAAAATACTTTATAAGAAACAGAACATTATTTACTTTTTTCTTTGTTTGCTCAACTCTATTGTTTTATGCGGGGAAAAAGTAATGGATTTTGAACAATTTTCATAAATATATATTTCATTTTTATCAAGTGCATAGAGAAGAGATGATTGTAAATAAAAATTGATTATACGTAATAAAAAGTTGACGTTTGAACTTTAAAAAACTATAATATCGCAATAAAACTATAACTCTTGTCGAAGGGGAGTGCTGTGTGCTGTTGAGAACGATGCAATTTCATTCACCATCCTACGAAGAACGTCACCGGAAAATACACTCGACTTCTGAAACGGAAATCCAATAAAAAACTCAATTCGGCGAATCTGCGGCGTCTCCTGACGTTCCCTTTTCTTTATACTACACTTGGAGAAATATTTTACCATCCTGTCCAGTGTTCTTTTAGCTTATTTCATCCCCAAGCATTTCCTTCCGTCTAGAAATTCGATTTAACATCATTCCATCGAACTTTTTCGTTCTAAAAGTAAACGTTGTTATCTCAATGTACCTTCGACAGTACGTGAAGAATCGCAATTGAGGTCACAATAAGACACGTGTTTAGTGTGAACTGAAAAAATGATGCACTTCGAATCTACAACTTGTTCGTATTCTATGCACTTTGAGAAGTAGAAAATAAATTTTTTTTAACATGACAGAAAATGTATACTGATGAAAATCCTTGAAATTTTCCTTGGAACTTAAAATTTATAGCAATTAACGGAAATTAATAACAATTGTTCTTTCTCAAATGCCAAAGATAAAATGTGGATTATTTTAAAATATAGTTTATTTATTTGCCTTTATACTACTGCACTCTCTAAAAATGAAACAGTAAAAATAAATCAGTGAAAACAATACAACTGATTCCATCAGTGGTTTAAGTTACACTGCCAAATCAATGAATATTCACTGATTTTGCAGTGTATGCCATTTTTTTCACTGTTTCATTTTTAGAGAAAACGGAAAATATTTTATAGAAACATTTACTAGTCAATTTAGAGTAAAATTTACAAGTTTTTTTTTTAACAAAAATAGCTAAAAATTTAGCAAAAAGTCTTATGTTGGTTGATAAAAATTTATAAAAAAGAATTTATTAATTCAGAAATTTACAGAATTTAATTTCAGATATATTAAATAAGAAGTAAATTTCGAAATTTTTTTCTAGAAATTTTTACAAACCAACGTAAGACTTTTTACTATTTTTTGGTAATTTTTACTAAAAAAAACTAGTAATTTTTAATTGTTTCTGCTAGTAAATTTTACTCTAAATTGACTAGTAGAAATTCTTATAAAACTTTTTCTGTGTGAGAATACTTTTAATATACTTTATTTATTGTAAAAAAAATATTTATTAAAAAAAAATCAATTAAAATATTTCAGAATTATTAATCATAAAATATTTTTTTCTAGGATACCTTAGTAATTTTCTTAAAAGAAGTATTTTAGGCAATGAAATTGCTTATTATCATTCATGCTGTCGTTGTAAATTGAAGTCTTTAAAAGTATGATGAACTGAAAGCACGAATTTAAGGGGTAAACAAAAAGTAGCATACTAAAAACGTCAACGGGCAATATTTGAAGAGAGAAAAAATATTTTAGCATATCTAAGAGTGATGGAAGCGTAAAAATAATAAATGATAATATGGACTGATTATTTATTTACTTTTAAAGTCGGAGCAATCGGAAAATAGCGAACCGTTCAATTTGTTTGATCTCCAGAGGCACAGAAACGGATGTCGTGCTTTTGCTATTGGTAAGGCTGCTTTCGCTGACGTCGACGTAATATACACACCAAGTCAACATCGTCGTTGGCGCGATTGCAAGAACTTCTAGGCGTCGCAACGCTTCAGTCTTACTCTACCTCTCGTTTCGTTTGTCGATGCTCTTAGATTCATTCAAAAGTAAACTCAAGTGAAAATTTTCGTACATAAATTGTAAATAACAAACGAAAACCTAGTTAACAATTCACTTTATAATAAATAAATCAATCAAAAAGTAAAAACAAATAAAGTAATTCAACATAGACTGGAATTGACAGTAGTTGAAAGAAACAATGTTAGAAAAAAGTGAGTGTGATTGTTAATACTTAGTTGATAAATCGCATAAAATAGAGTCAGTCAAGTGCACAAGATCGTTGGCGTAGAAATAGACTTCAGAGAGATCCAACAGGTTGTCTCAGTGAAGTTCTTGAAAGTGACCGCAACTTTGCGATATAGCGCGCGATCATCATCCTCTATCCGATAAAAAGTTTTCTTTCAAAAGTAATTTAACATCTTTGAGCACATTAGAGATACGAGGATAGTTCAATATTTAACTTGGAAAAAGAAGAGTTTAATTGAATGAAAGATTTATGTCTCAAGATAAAGCTAATTATAATTAATAAAAATATACTAAAAAGTCTCGTAAAAATTTCATCAGAATTGTGTAATCCATGGACTAGCATCTATTTCCTAATTTTGTCGTTACGTAAGCCGATCGCATTACTGGGAATATATACGGCGACACACAGTGGTCCCTAAGATGTGATTTTCAAGTCAGACCGGAAGTTATAATATGCTCCGGTATATTCTCAATAACGACATTTTTCAAGTTATTCATAGAAGCTTAATTTAAATCTCGTCTATAAATACGTGCTGTATCAAAATATGGTTTATGTTCAAATAGAACACCAGGGCTTGTAATTATTTAACAGCATTACAGAGAAAACGTAGTAGTGGCATAATGATTGGAGTAGATCCAAGAATAACGATAGCAAATGTAAATGGCCTTGAATTTGATGGGGAATTATTGTGAAAAAGTCTATTCTCGTTTGTGTAACTAATGGGATAAAAAACAAGTATACATGTTGAGCTGAATGTGCTTGTTGAATATAATTGAACTTGCAGATTCGTTGGTTCTTTAGATAAACTAGCAATGGCTTAGCAAAAACAAAGGACATTAGCATGACGACACTGTGTATAGTGAGGAGCAAGAAACTAAGCTCGTCTAATCTCCGTGGACCAAACACTAGTCCGGGACGTATTCTAAAAGCTCATCAAGCACGTTTATATATTCATGACTCGTGGCAGTTCCTTCGGGCGTAGGCTTTGGCATTGGAGCTCACCAGCAACATTGAATCGTTTCCTACAAAAGAAACTTTGATAATAGCTAACGGATTCATTGCATCCGATAGGAAACCTGTCTAGACTCTTTTTCATTACGGTTCGATTCTCGTGTCTATAAATTTTCGAAACCTTAAATACTGCTGTATCGTAAAAAGTTTCACGGCATCATGTTGTCCTGGTGCGAACAATCGATACAACATTTAGTAGCCAAGTTAACTGCATAAGGTTTACAGTGTAAACTCTTGGCAAGCAATCTAAAACTTTATCAATAGGCAAACATCAGCACGTCTCTCAAACTTTCATACAAACTGCTACGACGTACTGACTCTTATAGAAATTGCCAACTGTGTTGGCCTTAAATGGAACAGATGCGCATTTTATGTTTCATTATCCAGTTCTCAAGAGCTTCTGATCATTCCTTCTGTTATAAATCTTTCATTTTCTCTTGCTTTTATCGTTCATGCATATTAAAGAATCTATCATTCTATTTAGTGGAATGAATAATCCTTTACTAATCATCATAGCTGTCATTTCATCTAAATACTTCTTTCATTCTTCCAGAAAATATGCTCGCTCCCAAATTTAAGGCCTCGTCGGTAAAACCAGGTAAACCGCGTCAATTTTTCCGTTAACAGCATGAATTGTTTTATAATTGTGTGTTTAAATGTTAATTGAGTTCAATGGAAAATTTTATTTTTCCGTTTAAAATTTGATTCAGACAGTAAATCGAAATTTCAATAATTAATCTGGCTATTGTATGCGCCACTAAAATGTGTATTAACTGGTGGTTATATGTTACTGATGATTGAAACTGTATGTAATTCAATTAATATTTCATAGCTTGATTGAACATAACTGATGACTCGATGAAAAATATTATTGATGCAAATTTTTTTCGTGTTTCAAGAAAAAAAAAACGTCAACTTCAATAGTCAAATAATTTTTTATCAGCATAAAAAATTATACAATTTGTGTTGTGGCTTGCAATAAAAATTATTCATGAAAGATGGTATTTTAGGTTGAATAATTATCTAGATGATGAATTAATTCAAAAATATTCATACAATAAAGTGAAAATAAATGAAGTAATAACATCTGTCAAATCACTACAAAATAATTCCGTCATTAAATTAGAATAAGCGAAAGTGTATTAATTCATTTAGGCACACTGCCGACAAATTTATTCGTTTTCTTAGCATCAACTTGCAGACGTAACCAGCAGAGAGAAACTGCCAGAAAAGATGGGCCTTTTATGTAATACACCTCCGCTTACCCGGATTAGCATCATTTTGACTTCCTCTTACTACCAACCCGTCTTACCATTTTGATCTTGCTCTATTTCAGCTTTTTATCTCTCTTCATCTCTATTCTCTTACTTCATTCGGCAAACTTTCTGGCTTTCAAAGTCTCTCATCTCAGGCATCAAACTTCTGGCACAAGCTTCCCCGACAGCATTTATTATTTGACGGTCAGGGGTACAATGACCCTTCAAAGTTATTTTACGAAAATGAAATTCTCAAATAAATCGCCCTCGTATTTTTTCGCACCTAAGCAGTCTAATAAATTTTATTCTGTAATAATATCATTTATAAATTTAACTACTTATATTTTCAGACAATTATCTTCAACGAGAATTTTTTCAGCTGAAAAATGACTTGTATTACACACTACAAAAATTGTCTCAACTGTATAATTGTAAAGTGCTTTATCATTAATTTTGTAGACAGTGTTTTGCATCCGTGTGACATGGAATAATTATGAGTGAACTTTTGTATAAAGCCTGCACGAGCGAATAATTTAGTTTATGTAAAAAAAAAAAAATTTTTTTTGTTTCGAATTGAAGTTTGAGCATACGGTATGATATTTGTTTCTCGATATTACACTACTAAATTTCCACGCAGGGCGGATTCCCCGAGAGGTTTAAAATAAAAAGTTGATTTACGAGATCGATTTGTTATGTCGACAGGTGTTTGGTCACCAGGCAGTGAGCCTCCGCCTCCACCAAAGCAACCGAGTCCAGAGCGAGGCAAGAATACGGAGAAGGATGCTGGTATTCCACCGGTTTGGACGCCTTCCAGTGCAGGAGCAAGTCCTGTTGCCGAACGAAAGGAATTTCGTCCAGTCTCATTCGAAAGTCCAATTTTAAGGAGAAAAAATCCTGAGGTGACCATTTATTTCAAACGAAAAATAAATTTTAAAATCTATATACAACTTGGAACAAATTCTTTATTTATTAATAGAGACTTTAAATCGTTAATTATTACTTTGAGAAGAAGTTTAATCATTCAGTGAAAACTAAGATTTAAATATAAAGATAATATGCAGTAAAAAATTTTAAAATAGATCCAACTTTTTAATTAAAATGTAATTAATATTTAAAATTAAGATAAAACATAAGATCTCATGGTGTGAAAAATTCCACGAATGAGATAATCAAAGTTTTAAAAGTTGAATAAATGATAAATGTTTTTTGATAAGTTCATTGAAAAGAATCAACTTATTCTTTTTCTTGTACTTTTATTTAAATACAAATCATATACTACTATTATTCATACGGTCAAGCCCTTTAAAAAGATTAAGTTAACATTTTTGATGAACAAAAAATAATTATCTCAATTAAACGTATCTGTAGTTAAAACATGATTAATTTTTTAAGACCTTTCTGAATTTTTAAAAAAGAAGAAACAAATCGGCTTAACTTTTTCAACAAGTTTAAATACATTATTAAATTTACATCCCATTGAAGGTAGCGACTTTATCTCGTTGAAAATATGAAAAATTTTTAAACTGATTAACTTATTAATTAGTTCGTCTATTAAAAATATTGATAAAATTCTATCCATTTGAGAGTATTTAATTAAACCCGATTAAAAAGCTCCATCAATTGGAAAAAATTTTATTTCACAGTTTAATGAAATCCTCGGAAATATTTATTAAAAATAAGTAATTGAAAATGTTACCGTCAAAATCTTAACAATGTTAATTATTAAGTGTTATAGATTGAAGTTGTATTATCTAACTCATATTGACAATTTTCTCGTAGAAAGACATTTACGTTTCGTGTCACATTCGAAATTTAATATATTAGCTATCATTGGAAATATTTTTATTGAATTGCATTTTCATCAAGTATTTTTCCTACTCCAGTCGACGAAAAACGAAGTACCATCGCCACCGTGGAAAAGTGAACAAGGAGAGGAGAAGAAAAACGAGACATCTTCTGACATCACTCACAATATAAGCACGCGGATCGTAAACTCTCATTCTGTACCGTCCCAAGGGTTGAACACTCTTGCCTCTACACCACGACTCCCTCGTGCGCAAAATCCTACAATAACTCTTCTACAAAAAGCAAGAGGTGAGTTACAAAAAATCTTAATATATCTTATTTAATTTATAAATACTAGTGTGGCAGCATAATCCATCATACACTATTCTTGTCTTTTATTTATTTCACATTTTTGTAATTATCTACTTGCAGAGGGTCAATTACCAAAAGGAGCTGCTTACCTAAATGAAAGCATCAATTCACAGAAAAGTCTAGACTCTACAACTATTAGTGCTGACGAAATTAGTAAGTTTCATTGTATTTTTTATTTCGTTAGAAAAAATAACAAAAATACTCAACATTCGTGTTGACGGTGTAAGAAAGGTTTTAAAAATTCATTCAATAATATTAGTTAAAAGTTAAAAATATTTTACGACGTTACGTTTAAAAGATCATGTTTTAACAAAAGTTAAAATAAAATAATCCCACTATTTAGATTTTTTGCAAAAGCATAAAATGTAAAGAAAGTTAGATTTTATTTGATTACATGAGTTTACCTATTTTTTTTTTTACTTTTGTTTTATTCAGTAAGTTAAAAGTGATCTTTTTGTTTAATTAGTATAAATCAACAAAACAATTTTAGAAATGGAAGATACAGTAACTTTAATTAATTTTTTTCTAAAAAAAATATCGTCAATTTTTTTTACTGGAGTATTAATACCTTCATTTATTAATAAAAAAGTTTGAAAATTATTACTGTTGGTAAGCTTGCGAAAAAAAATTCAAAATTTATCCTGGTTTAAAACTGCAAAATTTTTTAACGAAGGTACTTTATTCATTTTAAACTACCTTCAGCTATATTTATCAAAAAAGTTTGTTGCTATTTATTAACAAGTAAGTTTAAGAGGTAATTAAAATAAATTTTACACGCTGAACATAATAAGAGTGAACGGTTGAAAGAAATTTTCGTGAATTGATTAGTTCATACGGTGAGAAGAGAATACGAAAGCAAGCCAAAAATAGAAAGCGATTCATCGAAGAAAATGGCTGATCAGGGTCCTCGAAAAATCGAGGGTATTGGACCAATCACTAAAAACGGAATGCCCGTCAGTCTTAGATCGGTAAGTCATTGATTTCTTCAAGCTCGTAAAAGTCGTCTACTAAAATATAGACGACTTGATTATGGAAAGTCAATGAGAAAAATATTTCAATTGCAGGAAGTGAAAGATGTTAATCAAGCAAAGTGGTATAAACAAATGTACGATTCACTTCATCGTTCACGTAAAAATGGTTAGTTGTACAAACAAAATAAATCCATGAAATAAGACAGCATTTAAAATAAAATGAAAATTATATAGTCATTCCTATCAATAAATTGAATATTATTTTACAGATGATTATGTCACTATTCGATACAAATCATGCAGAGGTGAATATATTTGCAACTATGAAACTTTTGAATATGACAATTTAATCGTTTACTAGAGCTAGTAATATTCTACTAATATTAATGATGCCTAACTCCAGCTTCAATTAGCATACAGCTTTGATTAGCAGATAGTTAATATGAAAATGGATGCTACTTTACATGTATGAGGGTGTATGAATTCATATTTAATATGTTTTGATAATCGGAGTGATAATTTATAAGTGTAACACCTGCGCAACATAAACCAAGTTGTTTGGAAAGAATATTTATAACATTTTTCTACAGCTGTTAATGAATTATTAATAGTATTAGTAGTAGAATTAATCATAGTATTAATATATTTATTAAGTGTTTTTTATAATAAACAATCTAGTAATAAAAAATCTTGCTATAACTTTCAATGCTTCTTCTTATTTGATTAAAAACAAAAAATATTATTATTATATGAAGGTGTAATTAATAATCTGAAAACCTTATATTTAACCATTTTTCGGAGATTAAATATTACACAGCATCTTTTCAGTAAAATAACTGGCGTGAAAAGTTTGCGCTGACGGGAAAACATTAGCTCTGAACAGTTTGAGTAATACGAGGGTGTATTATAAATTACCTCGCCCATTAAATAATCCTGCTTTTTAATGTTTCACAGCGGTAATTCAATGATTGATGAAATATTAATCATTTTGACAGTATAGTAATTGAATAATATAAATTTTCATTAAAATAAATTATACAGAAATAATAAAAAATAAATAGTATTATCAGAATTATGTAAATTATTTATCACTTTACTGTGTGATTAATTTTATATTGAATTTTCAGGAAACAGATACGGGCACGGAAATAGTGGGTACCTTAGTGAGCCGGATCAGCCGCGCACTTGTATCGATAAATCAGCCACACTGGATTCCCGTCGACGCCAAAGAAACAAAGAAAATGACTCTGCCATCTCGACGATACCAAGAAAGTAAATGATTTTTTATTATTTCCACATGAATAGTATTTTATTGAATTATTTATTCTAGAAGATAAAAAATAATTATTTTATTTTGTAGAAAGAATCTTTCAGCATAAAAGTCTTTTTTTATTATTTGAAATTTCTTTTAGCATAATGCAAGCTTTATGTTAGTAAAAATTTTTCTCTATTATTGTAGGATTGCTTTGGACGAGAGAATCTCATAGGGGAATATGGATTATTCATAGAAAATTATAGAAGTTAAATATTTTTACTTAAAAAAAAAATTTCAAAATAGCTGATCCAGGTTTCAAAATTATTTCAAAAACAAATTCACTTGGTAAAAGGCTGAATCTATGTGAAAAATTCATACAAGTTATTGAAGCACAGAATTCCTTGTTGGAATATGAGTTAAAATGGCCAGAATGTTTTTTTCAATTATTCTTTACTTTCAGTTATAAAAGTTTAAAAAAAAAAATGAACAATCTGAGTAATTTGATTCTATTATTTAACATAGTTGTAATTATTTGAACACAAGTACCACAGTGATTTTATTTCGTACAAAGCAACAGGATATTAAAAAAAAAAAATTAAAATTATGTAACTGTGATATTATTTACAAACAAGAGCTTTGTTCACATAAAAAGCTCAGTGAAATATTTCAAAAGAAAATCTCAAGCTTTTTAATAAAGTTCAAACAATTTTTGTACAGTGATTTGCTAAAGAGTTAAAAGTGTTTGAAAAAAACCCCACTTTTTGCTAAGGTGAAAAATTAACCTGGCAAAAAAATTATGAAATGACGATGAAAAGTAAAAGAAAATATAAACTAGACAACCACACTCGAATTAGATAACATGATGTCCTTAAGAAACAAAGTGGAATATTAAAAATTTTTTTCTTCATTTCAACTTCAAAAATTTTTTCACAAAGTCACAGCCATTTCAAAGTAACATAAACTGCAGAATATTTTTGCCATTTCTCTGTTGTATAAATTGAAAACAAATTCATATACTTCTATAAATCCATTATTCCCCGAGGATGTCCATCTTGCTCTAGGCTCTCCCATTATTCTATTTACGTTTAAACTCAAATAAATTTTATTTGTAGAAACACAGTTGTGAAGACAACCGCAGAAGTTTATCGAAATCAACCAGGACGTATCGAAGATTATCAACCAGGTCGATCAACAATAGGAGAGAAAGAAACTAAAGAGGTAAATTAAATCCATCTCAAAGCTAGAATTATTGTAAAATAAACCTCTACATCATGATAACATGTTATCATCAATAATAACACAGTAAATAGAAAGCCTAGAAATTGAATGGACATATTTAACGTACATGACTTAGAATTACTTTACTTTCAGCCGACTGTGACAAAAAATAAGGTAATGACGAAACGCTTTAAATGCTCTCTTGTATGAATTATTCATTACTACTCCACTCTATTTTATTATCAATAATTAAAATTAATTAATCATGATTCACTAATTTTTATTTTTTACATTTGATCACAAGAATACGACGGTTTCTATTTATTAGCAACTTGTGACAGCATTTGATTTAAATATTTATTTTCTTTTGGCTTCGTAGATGCTTGTAGTACCCTTAGTAGAATATTTAACAGTGTAACTCAGTGTAAAATTTATTATTTATTCATTAATCTTTATCAATATACATATATACATACTATTTGGTTAATTAATAATGCACTGAATTTATTTGAACATACTAACCAATCAATGAACGAAGACGAAATTTAGTTATCTTCACTTCCTTATTAATTTTATATAGAACTGTACGCATAGTGTAACGCAAGATTTCATTCTATTTTCTAGTGGTGGGACGAGGTCATGGACATATTTGATGGGGTACGAATTTTTTTGCATACTTAAAATGCTGTATTAATACAAGGCTCTGCCTTCATATCCATTTCTCACATTTTTGAACTTCCGGCTTTTCATTATTTACTATCAGTCGTAAGCATATTCCCTAAAGTAGACTTATTATTTAATGGTACCGGAAGATTTAAAGTTGAGATGATTACGTTTTACTTAATTCATCAACTTACTTCATTTTTTCCTTTTACTTAACGCTTTCTAATTTTTCTAGTCAATACTAATATATTGCTTAATGGAATTTCATATCTTTTGGAATTAACTAAATGACTGATTAAATCTATTCAATACAGTGAGAGAGTTATTCGGATTTTTTTTTAATTGGTTAAAAAGTCATTTTTTATTTGTTGTAAAATATTTATTTCTGTTGTAAACTATTTATTTTATTTGGACAAGAGAGGTAATGTTTTTACTGAAATATTTAAATTTATTTAAAAACTCAATTATAAATGGTAAAACATTATTTAAAAGTTTTCCATTGAGTAAATAATTCTTTTGGATGCTTTATTTTTGCGTGGTTGAAAAATTAAATAATTTAAAAAAAGTAATAATCAAATCATGATGAGAGTTATTAAAAAGCAAAAATATGGTAACCAATAAAATATTAACTGATTTTAACAAAAAATTAAATAAATATGAATAATAGATGAATTAGATAAAATAATAATATTAATCAAAATATTCTCTATATTTGAATGAATGTCTGTACTTCACTGTGATGTATCGTGTCCATGTTTAATGACCTCGATTCCAAATAATATTGCCGGTGTGTAAATGAGCAGTGGCTTTATGAACAAAACATGTTAATGCTTGGAGAAAAGGCCGAGGACAGGCAGTCACATCATCGACATCCCATGGCGCTTCGAACTTTCATTCCCACTCATCAACTGGTAAGGACTAACTACAATGTGCAGACTACATCATCAACACAGTCCTTGCATCCAAAAAGCTCCCTGCGCACAACGAGAGCAGTCCTCGAACACGTTGACCCCGATGCCATTGAGGTATTTGGTGCGCTAACTCGTGAGGATCGTCAGCCGTCGGCAGCGTCCGTAAATCTTCTCCTTGGTCGATTAAAGTCAAATATCTCAAGTGAGCGAGTGTTTAACTCACTCCTAAAATCACCCAAGGCTGAACGGAGTACGACTACGAGAAACCGACGCCACGCACGCGACAGTAAAACTGCAAGTCGTGAAATTCGTAACGACGACGCGATTGTTGTCGGGTTTATCGACGAAACCATACAACCTGAGCCAACGGACTTGATCCAGTGGCATCCAAATATGCTAGAGGAGAGATCCAAGAGCTTCATTCTTCCAAATAATAGCAGCCCAACAAGCAGACGATCACCATTAACTGGCAACCGGCCATCTCCCTCGAACAAGGAACGCTCCTTCTTATTGATGACGAGTCCTCGAAATCATCACCGCAATCACCATCACAACCAACGTCAGCACCACGACCCATCCATTTCTTCTTCTACTTCTTCTTCTTCTTCTAGCACCATTCATATTACCATGCTACCACCACCGCCACCAATCACCACCACCGTTACTGCCGAGACGGCCTTGACATCACCTTCACGGGTTAGACCTTCTTTTCCCCCCACCCAACATTTATGTTCAACTAGAACTGCACGATCATAAATATACATTGTCTATTTCTCTATCAGTAGTTTTCATCAGTAGAGGCCACCTTCAGTTGTGTCATATCGTGGTTGTCATGTTCTTATTTTAAAATTGAATTAAAAATAGAGCAATTCAGGGCCATATTTTAACCAAATGTCCAAATTTACCAAAATAAATCACTCTATTTTTCTATTATCTGTGAGTAAAAATCAATTATAAGTTCAAAATATGTTGTTGTTGTTGTTTTTTTTTAGAATAGTTGAAATATAATCTGTCATTAGCAATATTTTTCTGTTGAAATTCATAGATTTTTTTGTAGTATAGTTATTGCATTAAAGTAAATTAGAAAATAGATAAAGCTTTTTTTTAACACTTGTAAATCATCTTTCAATTTATTTAATCTTCACATATCCAATAATTCAATCATCAACTTTATTTATTATCAAGCTACGATTGTTCATCTTTCATCACAGCAGCAGTTAGTTGTAAATTAAATTTCGAAAAATAAATCATTAATTTAGCTTGAATTGCTCTATTTTTTGTTGAAAAAACAATTTGATAGAAAGTCTTCATCAATTAAAATATCATTTAATGAAATCAAATTTTTCTCAATTAGGACTCTACCACAACCACGATCAATTTCCAATATTTACTTAAGTGTTATTTGAATGCTCACTTGCAAATTCTAATGTGTCTCAAATCAATTCATGCCATTAGTTGTCTCTCTCAGATCATTCTCATCGCTGCTGACCGTCAATATTGATCATCTAAGCCTTTGCAATATTTTAAAATTGACGTATGGCCTCCTATCATTGTATTCGTTATCCTTAGATTCATGATCATCATTATTATTATTATCATCATCATCATCATCATCATCATCATCATCATAATCATCTATCCATGAATTCATAGCCATTTATGAATTGACAATCTTTATCATCGACATCAAAACACTATCGCTTGTAAACGTATATAAATGTTTAGCATGTGAGGTCTTAACTGTAGGATGGTGTAGCTGTTTATTCGAAATGACACGCTATCATCAGTAGCCACAACTGAATCGTCTATTAATATGAACAAGCTGTTGGATTTGAGCGACAAGTTAATCATGGCACTTTTAATTTACAGTCTAGTTGAAATTATCTCGCCGTGCACGCGTTAAAGCATGTTTTATAATATACATAATAAATTATATATTATTACTACGCTAGCATTCTCGAAGTAAATATTTTCTTATTCTTACAATGATGAAAGTAATAAGATTACTTGTAATTACAGCCTTTCGACCAACGCAATCCTTATACTGCGAAGCCCTACATGAGCCAGTGAGTTGAGAATCATTATAAATGTCGTACAAATAATGAAGTTGTACTACTTGTTTACTCGTTACCATCGTCATTTACAGCGCCCTCAAGGAGTCAGGCTATGAAAGCGACTCGACACTTATATTTCGTCGACGCGATGATGTGAGTCCATTGAGTCCACTTGAACAAAGACTAGCGTATAAATCAGTGCAAAAGGGTGGAGACGTTCCCCTTCATGGTCTTCGAAAACCAGCACCTGAACGACCTAAAGGTAAATCAATAACTTGCCATTTATTCATTTATTTAATCAAAATTTTTCTTTTACCTTTAGTTAGTTAGTTTTTTATATATATATATATATATATATATATATATATATTTTTTGCTTTATCAAAAGAATCAATCATCACGCGAGCTTTTAGTTTTTTTTTAATTTAAGAATGTGACTTGAATTCTAAATAAAAATTGATTAGATATAATGGTTCTGCATGGCATCAAAATAAGCACGTAATAATAAGCTTAGCATTGTTTTTAATTATTATAAATGACCTCACATATACTTGACTTGCACATTATTCTTTTAAGTCAGCAAAAGGATTAATACATGACAGTACATTGCTCGGAGAAAAATTTTTCTGAAGAAAAGAAAATTGTTATTCAGTGAAATACATAAATATTGATTATTCAATGTATATTTCTTCTATTTTGTAAATTTTATTTTTATTGAAAATTTGCTTTAAAAAAGTTCACTGCAGTAGAGAAGATCAATATTTGTTTAAAAAAAATAATTTTTTCCCGAGCAAATAATAACGGCCATTGAACACTTCCAGCACTGCTCTCTTCAAGATCTATCGATAATGGGTATTCAGGTTAAGAGAATTTACTGTTATTACTTTATTTATTTTTTATTTTCTTAATTATCGATTGCTCTGCGTTTTTCGCTAACTCACACCCGCACTCAACCACGATGAAGAGGATAGATAAATTGGCACACCCGCAGAATTACTCCACGAAATAAAAGCATTGGTGAAAGAACTTGGGATGACAAAGCGCAAGAATGAAGAATGAAATATAGATAGAAAAAAAAATTAATAAAATATAAAAAAAAATCCCAAACAATAAATACTCTGTCCACAGACGACACTGAGATCCAGTACTTTCCAATATCATCAACACTCACACGAATACGAGTACGTAGGAAAAGTGCATTAACAAGCACTTCTGGTTCGATGACTTCTACGTCGATGACCTTGACACGTAGCAAGAAATTGACGCCAACAGCATCTTCAATTATTCCTTTATCTCGTGCTAATATTATAGGTACTTTTTCCCACGCTAAAACGCCGCCTTCACCTCCAAGAAGACAGTCTTCAAGATTTAATGCAACCCTGAAGCTTTATACAACGACTGGGTACCCGCAAACATCAAATCGTCGACATCAACAGTGTTTTGCGGCAGAAAGTGTATCCAACATTAGATTCCTGAGGGAAAGACTGAGCAACAAGTTGCTGAAACACGAACAAGGAAGAGAATGTGGAATTGCACGCAAGAGTTTGACATCTCTCCGAAGCACTCCGATCAATTCAGCGCCTTCAACAAAAGTAAAACTTTCTGGCAAGGCAATCACTGGAGTAGTTAAAAGAAAGTCTGATCCTTGTTTAGCTAAGAGATCTCCTGAGTGTATAAAGTCAGTTAATACAGTTTCAAGAGACGTGCCAGCACAGAGAATTATTCAGACTAAACAATCATCTGAGAAATCAAGTGAAAAATTTTTATCAAGAATTCCTGAGTCTTCAAGTGTAACAAACCGCCAAGAAGTACGTTCTAAAACTTTGCCAAGTTATCAAAAAAAAGATCAGATAAAAATTCGTAAACCTAAAAAAGAGATAGAAGAAACTTCTAAGCGTGGTTCATCCTTGGATTCATCATCTTTCGTTCAAGTTGAAAGACTTTCCAACAACCGACAAGCTGACGTGGAAAGTACATTAACAGGATCCGTCATCAAGCCAAGCTCGTCGTCACTACGAAGAGTAAAGAGTCAGGACATTGGGTTATCCAAAGTAATCTCAAAGTCTCGTGAGATTCAAAAAACAAGTCGAGCGATAAGAAGTGAATCTCCAGCTCCCGTCATACCTAAATGTTCAACTACTGAGAGTAATAAACATAAATCATTCGCTGCTAAATTAACAGAAAAACTTTCAATAAATACATTATCAGTATCAACTGGTAGCAATTCAAATAATCGTAGAAAATCACGTGATAAGCCACAGACAATAGTGAAACTTTCAGTAAAAAAACCAGATATCGATTGTAAAAGTAAAGAAATGAAAACTGATAAGAAGAGAGCTTCTGTAAAAAGAGAAAAAACTCGTGAAGTTATCAAAATGAAGAAGAACGAAAAAAGTGATTTGGAGAAAAAGAAGGACAAAAAGTCGGAAAGAATGATAGAAAATAGTTTGAAGAAAACTGATAAAAACGACCAAAGTAGTACTGCAATAGATCGTATCAAAAAACATCAACAAGCCACTAGAACTGATAACTTCTTCCAGAACCTTTTCTTGAGGAATACTCCATCACCAGTACTATCACATTGTAGTACTCCAAGACGTTCTTCTGTAATGGAACGCGCAAGGATGTTTCAAGAACTTGGAAATGCTGGCTCTAAGTCAGAGCCATCTCTACGATCTCTTAGTGTCTATCTCACTACAAAACGGCCAGTTTCAAACTCACGCTTCAAGAATTGGGAGCAAGAGAGTTTTTCTTCAAGAAGTTCAAGTCCTTTTAGAGTAAGTTGGCCTGGAAGATCGATTTTTCAGAAAATTACCAAGTTTGATAGTCTGCAGCGTGTGTCAGACTTTGGATCATCATCAGGATTGTCTAGAGGCCGAAGTCCAGATTATGATAACTGTAGTATTATTAAAGAAAGAAGTTTAAGTGAACCACCAATAAAAGTATCGATAACTGACGAAAGAATTACTAGAATAACTCATCTACCACCGAGATCTCCATCCCCATCACCAACTCGATCAAGTACAAGTCTTAAAACAAGTCGTAGTTGGCGTAACAATGAAGAAGATTATTATTCAAAAGCACGGGCACGAAGTGTTAGTGAAGTAGAAAACAACGAACGACGAAGAATAACATTTGGATCTAATCTTTCTCTCACTAAAAGCACAAGTTCTTTAGAATCACCACCAACAAGTAGAGAAGAATATCAACGTTACGTTTTAGAAATGCTTCATACAAAAAAAAAATCGAAGCGATATAAAGACCTCCATGACTTTTATGCGAGTCTTGAACGAATGGGAAAACTGGAAAAAACAACTTCAAGTAGCGATTTACGACCACGAATGAAAAATGAAGATATCATTGATTATAATCGATGGAGAGAAGTTAGGAATAAAGAACGTGCTGAACAAGAGCTTAAAGATCTTTACAGCAAGTTGAAAACAGTTCAACGTGAAAAGGATTTTCTCTTCAGCACAAAAGACATTGAGATGTTCAGATGGAAAGGTGATTATAGTTTAAGATGCAAAGAAAGATCAGTTGAAAACATTCGTGAAACTTTTCGAAGATTAGAGAATGAAAAGAACGAAGTTGAGTCAACAAGACGTCACGAGATCGCATCACAAAAGGACATTTATAAACCTTTGTGGCGAGGCAATTCTGTGGTGAACGTGGCAAGTACAATAATGAAGAAAGCAAATGAAAGTAAACAAGACGAACACGATAAATGGTCCACTGAGCCTTACTTACAGAAGACTCTAGGAGGCAGCAAAAAGTTCTGGAGTAGTCTCTCAGTGGAACAAGTAAACGCTCTAAAAAACCAGTTAAACGAAATTTACGGAAGCGAGAATGAACGACCTAAAGTTCCTGCTAAATCTCCAAATATTACAGAAAAAATTGCTGTCTCAGAGACTCCAACCAAGTTCACATCGAAGATTAAAAATACTGACAGCAAAACAGAATATGAAGTGATTGTACCTCCATCAGAATTTGGTGATAGTTTGGACGAGGTAAAAGGTCTTAGTGTACGCTGTCACTCGATGCTTGTTCCAGATATTAAATCATCAGGAAAACCGTCAACTGTATTGAAAAGAAGTGATTCCATCAGTAATGGAAGATGTCACGGCTCATCAAACTCAATGACAGAGGTGGAGAAAAAACGATTGTCATTGACGTTAGGAAAAGAAATTCTTAACAAGGTTTCACAGAAAAAGAGTTCAAGGTCACCAGTAGCACCAAGAGAAACACTAGGAGCAATAGCTGCAGCTTCTGCAAAAAAGAAAAACATTCCTCAGACTTTGTCGACAATTAATACATCACCAAGAACTTGTTATTCTTTAGAGACTTCGTTAGACGAAGATACATCAAAGTCACGAGATAGAAGTGACTTTCTTTTAGTTCTTACACCAAATGGCGACAGTCCAGTAAGTAGGAAAAAAGTCGAGAATGTCCTTGAGGAGTGGGCAAAAAAACCACCACTGTTAGCTCTAAGTGTACCAAATACACAAATTAAAAACACATCTGGCAGTGAGCTAGACAGTACAACTGAGAGTTCAGAAAATTCCGTAAAAACAGTCGTTCAACGTGAAGATAAAGCAGACGTGGTACCAAGAAAAGTTGAATTTTTTGAGAACATCAAACGAGAAAAGGAAACGAATGAACAAAGTCTTGTACATTTTGCTGGTATGAAAAAGAGGAAATCAAAGTTGTCATCATCGCAAAGTTTCGCTGACCTTAAAGAACTATTTGGTGAATCAGAGTCTGCGCGTTACGTGTCTTCGCCTTTTCACCCATCTGAACCAGGTAGTTGCATTCATGTAAAATCATCAGAAAGTGAAACAAGTGATAAAGGAAAGAGAGGGAGTACTTCTATCTCACCGGATGTTCCGAGTGGACGACTTTCAAGTGATTCCCACTCGCATGACCTCGAACATCATCGACCACGTAGCGTGAGTCCTTGTCGCGTGTCCACATCTACTTGCAGTCTCGAATCACTCCGATACCGGAGTATATCTCCCGACCCGGAGCATTATTGGCGCGCTTACTTGCAGTTAGTGAAGCATGGTGCGGTTAAGAAGCTCAGAGCTAAGTTTGAAAGCCTTGAAGAACTGTCAGGAGAGCGTGTTAAATTTGCGTTGACTCCCAAACGATTTCAAAGTGATCCAGAGTTGACGAGAAACCTTTTAAAGAGAGTTTCAGACGAGAAGAAAACATTAAAGAGAGTTGAGGTGCCAGACGTGGCATGGTTAAGACGAAAATACGAGCCAATTCGAAGGAGAAGTAAAAGAAGACTCACTAGATCACCAATTCCAAGAATTCCTTTGAGACTTGAAGACCTCACTATGCCACACATCAATGTCATTAGTAAGACAGCCGAGCTTAAAGACAATGCTATGTCTCGCTCAAGCTCGTCCAATTCCTTGGCAATAAAAGCCGAGACTGAAGAATTAGAGGCAAGTAGACCTGTTGGAAGGCTTCGTGAAAAATTTGAAAAAATGGAGACAAACAAGCCATCTATTCTTGGTGAAATGTTTACTTCTGCACCTGATGTCTATGAACTCCGTGATATCTCTCCGTACCTTACGGGTCATTGGGTGGCACACAAATATCCCAGTCGTCGAGACAACGCCCGGTCGTTGTCTTTACCTCCAGACCTCGAAAGTTCCTCCAACCGCAAGTCTCAAACTGTCAAGACACACAGCGGTAGGACGACCTTACCACGAGATGAGAAAAGCAAAGGATTAAGGCCAGTCTCAGCATCTCCTGTAAGATCTCGTACACCAACCTCGATTCTCAAGCAAAGACAAACTGATCCATTTGCTAATCAGCCATTTGACCCAAGTAAACACCGACCAAAGTATCGCTACCAACCCCCACCGACTCCTCCACCACCTGCACCATTAATTCGACGTGCAACTAGACCTTGGTGGCCACCACTTCCAACGTATATTGCTAAACCTACTGTCACTTTTGAAGGTCCGGTTTAATGCCAACATCGGAAATAATTACTTCATTAAATATTATGATAATTATTATATTTTATTTTGGTTATTGTTTAATTAATTTTCTTTTGTAACCCTAGTTAACATTATCGATAGATCAATTCAGGTTAATGTGCTTTGTTTAATTAAAAAAAAAAAAAATGATAGATTTGTGCTTTCGGTTTTATTAAGTATCGTAATTATTTTTCGTTGACTTTTTTTTCGATCATTCATAGAGTACTCGAATGCACCCCCTCCACCGCCGCCAAAATCTCAACACTGCAGGAGCGATTATCAAGGTAATACTCGTTCAGAAAATCAAGTCATCCTTTATTTATTTTATTTATCATCGTTATACTTCTCCTGATTTTCGTTATTGCACATTTGGAACGTTTCTTGTTTTTTTTTCAATTTTTTTTTTTTTCTGTAAAAAATTTCACTAGCTACAAAATTAAGTGATCAAAATATTCAAATAACACACACAAAACTTTCCTCGAAGTTGTTGCATGAGTTCTATCAGCAAATAAGAGTATTGAGTATGGGAACATTTTCGTGTAGGCTATAATTGAAATAAAACACGATAATATATATAATACATGCAAAAGCCATCACCTAATATATAATTTTCTGTGTATAGATATTTAATAGTAGACATTTGATACAGATGAAATAAAAATTCATAAAATTTGTTGCATGATGCACCAGAATAATGATAACGAAAATTCCACGCATGGAATGCTGCATGCTGCACGAAATTTCCTTTATTTGTTGCAATTGCAATTGTTGAATATCAGCATTACGTTTAAAATAAAACCATCATCCATTCTCACTGAAATTCGGGAATAAGTTAAGCGATTGAAATATTTTGAAAACGAATAAAAAAAAAGAAATATATTTTCCATCGAAAAATTATAGCGTTTGATGCTTGCATCAAAGTGCATGTGGGCTATATGCAAAGGAAACGAAGTGAACGACAAATGCTGTTGGCGTAATACCGCCGGAAATTACGTAGCAAGAGAGGAATTATTGCGTAGCACGCGCGAGTGCTTACAAATCCGTTGTGCCGAGTGTGGTCAACGTGAATAAATAGGATTGAAATAACGCATTCAGTCATTTCGACAACGGCCAATCAATACCACCCGTGATTATACCTACCTATTAGACTATTTGAACATTTTAATTCGTTTAACATTCGGTGCTGAAAATACTGTTGATAACCCCCATGAATGATAAAATAATCTCACCAAGCACTAATCGACTCTCCGACAGACGTCTTGAGGTTAATGTTGCCTTGACCCGTAACAAATTGTCTTGATCAACCGAGCGATACAGTCATCCAAGTTTTAAATTGTTCCCTTTTGTCACGCAAAATTAAATAAGTTCTTACATAAATAATATTTTTTATTCATCCCTTTTCCGTATGGATATCGAATATTTTATCTGATCCAACACGGAAAATTCATTACTTTAATGATCCAAAGAATACTAAAACATTGTGAAAAACATTCTCTAATGGTGTAATTATGCCGTTGTACTTTTACCATTTAGCGATTCTTCATGAATAAAAAAAAAATATATCGCACACCAAACATTGAGAAATGTAACAAAAAACATTTCACATTTACTGTTTTATACTAAACAACACTAGTAAATTCATTATAACACCCAATTTCAGTGAAAACAGAATACTTTATAAAAGTTTCATTGTTTTATTATTCTAAAAGTTGTAAAAATTCTAAGGATTTAAAGATTAAAATATTCATAAAAATTTTTTATAAAGACAGTCTACGTTTAATGGAATGTTATTCTTGAAATAAAAAAAATATTTTTTTCATGAGAGACAATAAAAGTAAAGTTTTACGAGAACAGATTACCTCATTTTACCATGTTACAACCTTGAACTTATCATATCTAATATAAATAATGAATGTGTTTGAGAAGTATGAAGCTTTTAGTACAATTACAAGTCTGAGGATGATTTGTTGTCAAGAAGAGCCTTCAACTGCAGCTGAGATTCACTCACGGTCTTGATATAGACTGCAAGTTCTGTTGTGTCCAAAGCTTGTAATCACGAATCGCGTGTACAGGTCGAAAATGTTTTCCAGTTTCCAAATATAATACCAACTAAGTTCTAGTGTGAATGAAATTCGTAACAGTTTAATAATGAAAATTTTCGTACGTGCATGTCTATGGTTGTTATCTAATCTTACGTAGCTGATAAAGAGAAAAACACAAGTGTTTGGTAATATCGTATTCGTGGCATTAACGTGGAGCAGTACATGTCGAATTGATGTTGAGTGATTATCTGTTGATGTGAAATTACTTTTTTTACTTAAAAGTAAAAATAAAGTGAAATGGATTTACGTGAGTTGGAATAATTCGAGTTGCATCAATAGTGCTAAAGTAACGGGCTATAAAAATCAGCAAGTGCAATCGACGGCGTGAGGTGTACAATCGTTGAATAATTTTGAATAATGAAAATGCGGCAAATGAGCCAAAGTGAAATCGTTCCCCCATGCAAATGAGCCTTAGAGTATTCGTACAACTGCAGAGATTGCTCTACATTCAGACCACGTAGACACCTCATTGGAATAGAATGATAGGTCGGGTGTGAGACTACAAGTAGCACCATTCTCAGCCCGTCATATGGAGGACGAACGATTCACGTCTATTCTCTCTTTTATATTTAAGAAAACAAATAAACTCCTCCTCTGAGCAAAAAAAAACATTAAATTATGTCGTGTGCACACGAGAATATTATCACCTGCTGTTGTTCATGTCTTGATTTTGAGAATATTTTCGAATATTCCAGCTGGGCTTGATTCTTGAATTTTATGCTGATAAATCATTTTGATTCATTCTCTAGAAAAATTTGCAGATATATAAACTCTGTTTAGGTTTCAATATATTTTTCTTTTTTTAACAGAAATTATCTTCAATTCATTCTATAAAAGATGCATATAAATTTTTTGCATATAATTTTAGTATAAATATTAATTCAATTGATTTTTTTTTAAATTTAACGATTCGAGGAATTTACTTGTCATAAAAAAATTACTCATTTTTTAGTACATTACGTAAAATTTTATGATAAGACTTTTTATAGTGTTGAATTAGAGATAAACTTTAGAAGAAATTTTTATCAAATTATTATATTTATTGTTCCGAAAATAATAAAAACTAATTTGGTCAATGACAAAATGAGGAAGAAATCATCATTATTTGTTAACTATTAATAAAAAGAAAAATTTTCTAATAAACTAACTTACAAAAAAATATTTTAGAACATAAAAGCTTTATATTAAAACAAAAAAAAATAAATAAGTAGGAATAAATATTTTTGGAAAGAACTCTATTATTTTTTTATGTATAAAATTGAAACATGTTTACGTTCTCTCAGTTTATTTGTGTTTATAAGAAAAGCAAATAAAAATTTTTCCATCTCGTCGGAAAGATTTTATTCCGAGCACAACTAATATTAAATATAAAGGAAATGAAGAGTGACAATAAATAGTCATCGTTCCAAAGACTACAATTAATCTAATATGGGAGCAATTGTTTCTAATCACTAATCACGTAATGTTTTGAAGGAGAAAAATGAATGTTCGTTAGTTCACAAGCGCGCGAGTTTCATTTTCCGGTTGCCCATTAGAGTCCAATTAGGTCGAGTGAAGAGGATAATTAGCAATAGATGATGATGGGCCACTCGCTTTCTATTTCTCTCGCGTGTCAACTTGATAATTAATTTTCATTTGCCGAAAGACGAAACTCCATGTTCTTCCTTCCGACAACTTTTTTATTTTGTCGACGAGCAGAGCAAGCTGCTTACCAGAATACCAACTGAAACTCCTCACGGTCTAGCTCCAACGAAAAGAAGTAATATTATCGGTTAAAGACATATATTTCCGTCAGTGAGAAAATGCAATACTCTGTTACAGGACTTGTCGTTGTGCTCACTAAATCGACCTGACCTCCATTACTCAGCACTCGATGAAATAACTACTATTATAACTACAACTTAATAACTCTCCAAGACGATGAAAACCTCTAGACTTACTTTCCTATATTAATGGACGATATTTCTCCTACAATCTTTAACAAAGTAATAATAATAAAAATAATCACAATAATGATAAGAATAAAATTGTAGACTTTCCGAGTTATTGTCACCATTCACTCTATTCAGGCGTTATTCTTCATCTCTTTATATCCTTCAACAATTACCGACCTTAGACCGTATTCTAGCTGTCTTTTATCTACCAGCTGATATATAAATAATATTATAAAAGCTATCTACGAAAAGCGTCATTGATAATAAAAATAAAATTAATGTTAAAAAATAAAAAATTGCATTGAATTTTTGCTCAGTAGAAAAATAACAATCTAGGCCAATCCTTCCGGCAGACCTTCGTATCCTTATGTTTCTCGATAAGCAATCTTCTATACGTCTTTCAGAGAGCGTGACGCTTCTATTCATTGCGGACCTCCAACCCACATCGTGAATGGCCCGCGAGTGATTCGTAACTGTAACCCCTCCAACTTTGTTATAGGTAAACTCTAAGTTGTGGGGCTATTGTCTTCGTACACTCTGCTTCTCCTTAGAAATTGACCAGTCTTACTTTGTCAGTTGACTCTTGAGGTATTCATTTAATTTTCTAGATGGTGTGACTGTTTTTTAAATGAATAAATAAATAAAAAGAGAGAATCAAAGACTTTTTAAAAGTGAATGAGAATCAAAAAAAAATAGAATTCAATATGATGTCAAGCATCTCGTCATCAAGATGTCAAGATCTAATGCTACCGCGTGTCAAAGACTTGGAATGCAGTCGAGAATGGATAGGTCTTACATATGACATCGATAATCTAGAAAGAATGAAATCACGAGCAAAATGGAAAAACATTCAATCTGAAAATACCGGTGCTTTGTTGAAGAGTACATGTAGACAAGTGACAAATAGACATTCTGCATTAGAGCTCAATGAACCAAGTATAGTATTTGTTCATATGACCACAAGTGAGGATTTGGTACACAAGTTACAGGAAACTGATAACCGAAGTGGAAGTGCAAAGTGTGTATCGCCAGGGGAGTATACTGAAAGTTACTTCAATGACAACAATAGTACAGACATTGATAAAGTGCTTAGAAAAGATGAAAGTCGGAGATCTTATCAAGAAAATGTAAAGGATGGAGATCGATGCAGGATAGAAAATAGTGCAAGTCTCGAGAACCCAAGACGATCAGTATTGAATACAGATTCACCGAGTTATCGTGATAAAAGCCACAGTGTATCCTCACAGCGTACTGATAAAACTGATATTTTATTTTATCCTGGATCAGACGAGTTTCGCGGTAGCAGAGAGAGGCTTCACGAGATATTCGAACACAACCGGCTTTTGAGACGACGTTTCTTCAACGATATGCCTGGCGAGCCAAAGGATTCACATAGCAGAGGCATCAGCACGTGTGGTCAGATAGGAATGATCAAAAGCCGTCTGGAGATTCCTAAACACAATAGTGGATTTGGCAGCACAGAGACTTTAACAAGCCAGAGCAATCAATCAGGCGTGAGCAGCACCAATGGACGCAAGTCTCGTGGAGATTTCGAAAATTGTAGTGAATTTATTTTTGATCAGTTCAATCAAATTCAAGAAGATAACGTATCTGATAGAGATACTGTAGGTGTAACTGAATCCAATAGATTTTCAGTCTCTCGAAGCATCAATCGTTCTGCTATTGAATCTATCTCAGAGTATAATTTACCTAGATTCCAACCAGAACAGATACCAAATTACACGGACGATCAATCCGCGTCAGAACATAGGAAGTATCTAAGAGACTCTGGATTACCGACATTTCAAACTATGGATTACAAGGATTGTCTTGGTAACGTGGAAGAAAAGTTTTTTGCGACTCGTGCACGGATTAAAGAATTCCCTGAGACTCAAGTGGTTGTGAGAAGATGTAATAGACCAACGCCTCTTGATCTCAAGGATAGAGTGAACAGAACGTATAGTGCGATATACGAGAGTGAGTGTAAGATGATAAAGAATTACACGGCAGAAGAGCTTACACCGGCTCTTCATGGTGACGAGAAAACTTATATTAACTTGATGGCTCTTGGAAACGACCGAAAGTTAAGTAAAAATTTCAACGACCGTGATAATGAGTTTGCACTCAAAAGTAGCAAAAGTCTTGGTGAGCTTTCAGCCAAGGCAACCCAGCCTATTACAAATAAATCGTGCAGTGACATATCTACTGTTGAAGACTTACGATCTCCTCAACTTGTTAATAGCTTCAGCAATTCATTGATTGACTTGAGCATGCATGAATTAAGTACAGGTCAACGATCTCTTCAACTTAGTGATGACGATCTGAATGCAGATTGCGGAAAGTCAATTGACTCGTCCATTCCCGGAACCGGAACTACGCTTCCATTGATCTACGGACCATTGCCGTACAGTCAGTACTAGAAACAGCAAAAAATATTATACACATTAACATGAACACATGAATTTCATCATCATCATCATCATGATCATAATATGCATAATATTACTACTCTTATTGGTGTTGGTAATAAAAGTACGAGAAATAAAAAAAATCATAGCTATATTTTTATAGCTGTGTTTTATTGCTTGTAGTTGAGTAGTCGTCGGTGCAGTGACAGCAAAACTTCTATTGGAGCGCACGCGTGCTTTTTGCATTATGTAAATTCACCAAGTATTGGTTTCAGTCATGTAACATTAGTGCTTCAGTTTCTCCATAGAAAAATAGTGTTTGTAAAAATAATAAAAAACTATATCAAAAGTACAAATATAAATGGCATACTTTATAAATAATTTACTTGAAATCTGTCATTATTTTTCTATGAAAAACTTACTATTGTTGTAAAGTCAATATTTTAAACAATAAGAGACAATGTTATTATTTTCATCTTCCAATTTTCGTGTGTTGAATCTGACATTGAATGAAAATGTTTTTATGGGAGCAGATTAAGTGGAAAAAACTGCCGTAATAGTCGTAAAATAAAAACCGTAAGACTAATGTTTCATTCACGAACATTTCCACTAGCGAATGCGGAAAAGTTTGTTTTTTATGTTCTCATCAGACATAATATAATGGCATAATCTTAAAGCCGCATTAAGTTATACTTGATGTATTATGTAATTCATAATGAAGCAAGGACGTGAGTCACGGTCCAGTGTCTGGTAGCACCTAATACTCTTACTTAAGGTCTTACGAAATTAAAAATATTTGACCAGTCATATTTTAAAGCTAGCGTAGCATAATGTTAACATAAACCATCTCAATTAAATGTTCTACATAATGTTTACGTGTGACAGTTAATTTATTGAAAAGTTTCCATAAACTCGTAGGTATTAAATAACATGATGATTTTCTCTCCTCTTTTATAAAAGTACACTTTTCTCAGCAATTGAACATTGGAAAATACGTAGGAAGTAAAAGTATTGTGAATGTAAATAAAATTACATCTCTGCTAAGTCGCAGGAAGCCATGAGAATCCATATTCCCAGAGACTAAATACGATAAGTAATAGTAAGCCAACCAGTAAACTGGGTTATTCAAACGCGATTCACAGTAATCCTAATTAAACTCTTCTAGACGAATAATTTGTGCTCTAGTGTGATTTGTAAAATTTCTACTCATTGAAGCATTCATTGCTCGAATAACTTAATGGTGATGACAAGGAGAAATAGGGTGAATAATTGAATTAAACCATTCTTCCAACAGAATCACCCCGACGATATGTGGAAGGTGAGGTGACAATTCACTATCGTTCTCCAGTTCGCACGGAAGCTAAAGAAATTCTCAGTGAGGAGGAACTTGCTCGAAGAAGTGCCGAGAATATGCGTCGAGTTTATCAAGAAGAGCGACGTCGAAAGTATCTTCAAGAACTTCATGATATAGACTCTCGTCGTCATACTGATAACTTTATGTAAGTCATTATTTTTCTTAAACTTTCTTACTTGATGATTTATTCAAAATGTATGTTTACAGACCGTCTCAAAAGTCTCCAATACCGCTGAATCGCTATGATGACTTTGTGGACGACCTCAGTTATCGAAGTAGATCCCAAGAACAAACTCCTGAGCCAAGACTTGTGGCAAGAGCTCTGTATAACTTTGTTGGACAGACGTCCCGTGAGTTATCCTTTCGTCGTGGTGACATTATTCTTATCCGTCGACAAATTGATAAAAACTGGTACGAGGGTGAACACAATGCTATGGTTGGTCTTTTTCCTCTAAATCATGTCGAGGTAATTAACTTTATTGGATAAAGTTTAATTATTATTTTAATTACTTTAATTTGTATCTAGTATAATCATTTTATACAATAATAATAACATGAGAAAATGAATAACAACGTCAGGAAATTTTTTAATAATTTACATACTGATAAGAATAATCTTTCACTGAAATTTTCCAGTTTCCACTTGATGTGGATCCTAGGATTTCATTATTTTACTTTTTTTTTTCAAGCTGTAGATTATCATTTCAACTGTATAAAGTCATGAAATATAAGTTCTGCTAGCAAAAACTATTATAAACTACTTTGTTTTCATGAAATCAAAAGATATTTTTCACTCAACAATAAAAGTATTTAACTTATTGTATCTTTTACAAACTAAAGAGACTAATTCTCTTCGTCTTTTGTTTAGATCCTTCCTTACGATGGTGCAAGAACAACTCCAAAGAAACCGTATGAGGGTCAAGCACGTGCTAAATTCAATTTTATAGCTCAGACAAACCTCGAATTATCTTTGGCAAAAGGTGAGTTAGTTGTTCTCACAAGAAGAGTTGATGAAAACTGGTACGAGGGACGAATTGGTAATAAAAAAGGAATATTTCCTGTTTCCTACGTGGAAGTAATCATGGAGCCTGGGCAACATCGACCTGGTAAGTTTATTTAAATTTACATAATAAAAAAAATTATTTTCTAATGAAATTAAAATAAGATACATAACATTTCTTTTTTATTCAGAAACACCTGTATCGAGTAAACCTGTAGCATCGCCTGCCGCTCACAGTATGCTCTCTAATGGAACAGCAAGTGGAAAGATGAGCATGGGACCTCATCATTACACACCTTCAATTCCTGTTAAAACTAACACAACCGAGCCTCAGTATATATCACTGGTATGTGTATACATTATTAATGACTTTTAAATTAAAAGTAGTAGTATTTGACTTTATCTTTCTACAAGTACTGAACATCGTTAATTTGTATGCTGCAACTGTTAACGAAAGAAAAAAAAAACAAGACAAATAACTTCTTACAGTAATTTTTCTGAAATTAAGACTGTTGCAAAAGTTTCTTTTAGTGCATTAAAAGTAATATTTACATCATTAATAATTTAATGTCTTTATTTAACATTGACAAGTTCAAAATTCTTGGTAAATGTTGAATTTTGATCTTTCAAAGCTCTTTGAAATTCAAATACACCGGCTAATGGTTAATGAATTGTTTGGGTTTGCAGCCACGCATTGGTGTCACTGAACGCAACAAACTGCACGTTGCACCTGTCAACGAAACATTGCACATCGATACACATTCAGATACGATACCGTGAGTGTTTTTAATTAGATAAATAATAAATACATATTTAATAAACTTCTATGATTAACTTTCTACTTTTGTTCCCGTCATAGATATCGAGCTCTTTACAATTATCGTCCTCAGAACGAGGACGAACTGGAATTGAAGGAAGGCGATACCGTTTACGTGATAGAGAAGTGCGACGACGGTTGGTTTGTTGGTTCAAGTCAAAGAACTGGTTACTTCGGCACCTTCCCCGGAAACTACGTCGAACGTTTATGAGAAGAGGCCGGGCCTCGATGGACAGAATTAACCAGAAGAATTCGAATCGCAAATACCATTGCAATTAATTTACCAAAGGATTCATCATCACAAAAGGTTGAATATCATTGCTAAAATAATTTCAATATTCAATGAGAGTCAAGTCGAGTCACAATAGATAAGTCGTTTTTCTGGAAGAAATAATACTAATATTATTATTATTAATAAAAATACAAAAATTAAACATAGAATAAATATATATATATATATATATATATTATTTAATGTAATGAGCCATCGATGACTCATGATTTCGTCAAAGGTCTTCCACGACAGGTAAAATAATCTAAAAATAATAATTAATAACATAATTAGTAATATAGCATAAACCAAAAAGTAACATTGAATGAATAAGTTGATTAAGCTAACATGTAAGTAGTGTACGATAGCACTTACTTTTAAACTATTTATTTAATTATTGTTCATAGAATTAATCCATCAGAAGAAGTGTAAAATAATCAACATAAAAATATCTGTTTCATTAATAAATAGTTTTACATAAAATTAAAATTAAGTAAGTTGACTAAAATGATTAATAATAATGAATAATGAAATTATACGAAACTACAGTGTACAGAAGCTACTGTTCTCATTACGAATTTCTCGTTACCATATACCAAAATAATATATGAAATTGTTAATTGTTTATTAAAAATGAATTATTGGAATCAACTGATGTAATTCAAACCTCCTCATTCAATGAATTGTTCTTTGATAACTGTAATAAATAATAAAATGATTTATAAATTTATGGCAATGATTTATACAAAGTACTTGACGCTTATTAAAATTCATAAAAGTTAATAAAAATACATATTATTTATTGATTGTTAAAACGGTTGCTAAGATAGATCAGGCCGTATTTATAACTGTAATTATTATTATTATGGATTTGCCTCCAAATTGATATTTTTATAAACATTATTATAAATAAGCTTTAGTTATTGATGTAGAAAATAAACATTTTAATATCAATATTAGTCAAATATTATTAAATAAAATGATGAATAAGTAAAATACTTGTAAGACAAATAAATGAATAGAAAATTATTTCAAATCAATGGGTCTTGATTTAGGCAGCTTAAAAATCTATTAAAACAATTGTAATTTCCAGTAATTGGTCGTTATATCGACATTATAACATAAACATTTCGAATAAATCTATAACGAACGTGTTAGTTCATAAAACGACAATACAAATAGAGATCGTAATAGAATTTTAAAAAATTAATTGTGGCCAAATAATGTAAAACATTTGTAACGGTCTATTGTCAGCGATATAATCATTTAAAAAAGAAAATGTTACAATAATTCCCAAACATATCGAAAAAATTTCAATGCCTAAAATTGTTCTAACCTATTGTTAAAATTATATTGAACTTTCTTCGACATTATTTTGTCAAGTTGGTCCTTGGTATGTTCTCACATTGCACATATATTTTATTATGAACAATAAAATGCATAAATTAAATGAATTAGGACGTTAATTATTTCGTAATTAGATTGACACTTGAATGATGTCATGAATTATTGTAAATTTCAAGGAAAATAAAAATATAACAATGCCATCGAATTTAATATATAATTATTAAGCATAAAATTCAAAAAACATTCATTGACTCAATGATATAAGACTATTAAATAAAACGAAAAATATTTTTAATTTAAACACGTTCGACAGCATCGTTTATAAAATTCAGGAATGATGCAATACTTTTTAAGATTTGGTATAACGCAATACCGACTTTTGTTTCTTTTGCAATTTTTTTCACAAACAACTGGACTGTGTTCCGAATTTTTACAAGTTCTCAGCTCGTTGGGAGCTGTACCATTGCAAGTAAATAAATTTTCAGCTTCTGGAGGCACACAACGAGCCATTCGTGACTGTATTCCTTTAGCACATGATCGAGTGCACTATAAAAAATAAATAAAATATAATTCTAAGATAATCAATATTGACATAAATTGTTATTTTATACAATTACGTACAGGCGACCAATCTGTAAAAAGCCAGTTGCCTTGGCAAGGAATTCTATTACATTCTTGCTGATTTTTGGGAAGTTGATATTGATTACAGAGATCTGGTGGTACCATAACTTGATAAATTTTCTTTTTATTATCATTCGTTACGTAATTATCAGGAAATGATGAATGCACACAATAAATTTGTCTCTGTTGAACACCTGACGCACCACATGTTTTGGTACAACCTTCCCACATGCCAGTAATCCATTTGAATTGACAACTTGAAAAAATATTGAAAAAAACGAATATAAATTCGTGTATTATTGTTTGAATTTTATATTTGTAAATACTAAAAAATGACAAAATAAACTGAATAATACGAAATACCTAAAAGTATTGCATTTCTCCATTTCTTGAGTAGGTTTTGAAACCAATGAACATTTCTTATTATTAACAATTCTTCCATCTTGTTCATTCCTGCAAGCTACTGTCCGATAGCGTACTCCACCTCCGCAAGAATGAGAACAAGGACTCCATCCTCCAGAAATCCATGAATATTTATTGTTGCTATCTTCATTTTCACGATTAGTCATATAACGAAAGCTGACTAAAATTATCAAACTCTTCTTCACTTCATACTTGGGAATTTTCAGCTTGAATGAAGATGAATATTGCAGAATTAACTTGGCATTTTCCAATCTAATGAATTCATTATACTTATTAACTTAATAATTATCTTACTGAAATTGTTACAGTTGCCAGAGTGGGTCCTCTTCCAGTAATTTCGTATTGATTGTCATTCTTCTGTATTTTAAACTTCGTTCCTTCAACTATCATCACAGTAACGTAACTTTGTAAGTTTAAACTTATCTCGTGTTTATGTCTTTGTGCATCGCGAAACACTATTTTAGAGCTTTCGTATTCAAGAGGCATCGGAATTGTCTTTATGCTTACCAAGATATCATATGATGCTGGAGGCACGATTACTACTCGTGTAGTTGCTGAAAAGAAATTATTCCAATTCAATGAATTACTATTTCAGAATAATCATAATGTGAATATTTTACAAATGAAAAGGCAATCTTTTAATGATTACACAATATTGAGTTTTACAGTCTTCGTAATTTCAAAATGAATAATTTCAAAATTTCAAATATTTGTGCTCTACTGATGCAATTTATTAATGAATAATGTATTATTGGAAGTTAAAAATTCTTTTAAATAATTTAAAACTCAAATTATTAGGAGTTTTTGAATTCATTCGACACCAGTACTTTGATACTTGACTATAATGACAATCTAGTTTAATAATCTTCAGCCTCCAGCCATGGAGAAATTGAAGCCAAAGTTTGTCATGTTCAGACCTAGTACTCATGTTTGTTTCATGTTAAATTTGCCTAACTCTGTAAGATATTACACGAATGCTTGCACATTACGCTTGAAAATACAATTATTGCAATATCGATCTGTACCTCGCCGAATTCTACGTTGAAACTTGTTACTAACACTGATACATGTGGAATTGTCTCCATCACAAATCCCACACTGATCAAGACCTTTTTTTGAATACAACACATTGTCACAGCCCATCAAATGACATTTGCCTTGAATACAAATATTCGTTGAGTCGTAAGAACACCGAGTACCATCAATGAGGAAATCATTGCTAATGTAAATTTCCTTAGTTTCAACGTTCCTACAAGTTAGTCGACATTTAAGGCTCTTATCTTCATGTTCGTATGGTAACCAAGTGACTTGATTTTTTCTTGATGGTGTTTTATCTTTTATTATATTGGCAAGTTGAGAACATTGTTCACTTCGTAGATCTATTATTTGTGGACAGTCTTTTTCTTTACAAATCCGGAAATCTGTGCTATTTCCATCGCAATCTCTGCCATCAGAAAAAGGTCTGTAAAAAAATTCATGAATTATTTAACCGTTCAGAATAAATTACTGTTATGATTCTTGGCTATTTATAAAAATTTTAATACCATTTGAAATGAAGTTTTGGATTCAGATTTCGTGTTTGGAGGGTTTTATTTCATACATAAAAAAAGAAAAGTCTATTTCATCTAACATCAACTTTAGACTCAAAAAGTAACTATTTAAACTTATCTTGTAACTGAAATTCTAAAGTTTAGTTTTAAAGTTTGATATAAAAAGTAAAAGTACCAGATTTAATTTAAACATTCATTTTCTTTACAATTAATTTTCTCTAAAGTACTCTGGTGATTGAAGCATTCAATGTTCATTAAGTTTCTTAAATCGTTTGTAATTCATAAAAAACCCTTTGAAGTTTTATAGATTTATTCACAAGAATTATTAAAAAATTTACATAACCAATAAAATCTTTCTGACAATTATGAAACTATAAAGAAGCATTATTTATATTATGTAATAGAATTTTTTTGATTGGTGCCAAGCGTGTTCATACAATGTTATTAAAGCATGATGAGAGTAACAAAGCCCAAAAAGAAAAGAGACAATAATAACAGCTGATCGGTCATCAACCCGAATTATGAATTTAGGTCAAGTTCAACAAACCGAAAACAACCGAAAGTTTGGCGGTGGTGGCGCATTATATTGTATAGAGGCATTCCCGCTCAAAAAATGAAAAAAGGGGGCGACACTGATATGCCAGTATGGCATCAATGTGTTGAATTAATATGTTTTAATTGAATTTTTAAACATTAATAATAATGATTAAATTTATAAATAATTCACAAAAAAAGAAAAGAAAGGATACGATAATTCAACAATAATTCTTACGTGAGATTATTACACTGCCGGCGACGAATCTGAACGCCAATCCCACACGTAACTGAGCATTTGCTCCATAAGCTCCATGGACTCCATTTACTGTCCACTAAATTGTTAATGGAAGAACCAAGGGTAAATATATTGTGGTCCACTGTTTCACAATATCCATTAATACACCACTGAAAGAAAAGTCTCATGATTTACGGTAAGTTTATAAAACTGCAAAGTATTTTTTCAAATACTACTTTATCTTTGTCACATTGCGTTCCTTCCAAAGGTGGTCCTTTTTTTGTTTTACACATTTGATTTTCATCTTTGTGAGCACACCATAGATGAATACATATTCCTGGAAGATTCAATCTTTTACACAGTTCATATCCATCGCCAAATTCCATCCGACATTGTTCATCCATTGTAAAAGTATCACGTAGAGTTGTTTTTAAATGAGTCGAATTATTAAAGCTTGGTGGGTTATTCATGCATTCCCATTGTCTGTAATATAATCCCTCAGTGAACATTGAAATTTGAATTAGCATTAAACTCTGCATTTTATCCTTTACTTTGATCGATGATAAAATTCTTTTCTCGAGCAAGGTGACCAGTGAAATCTATGGAATGTCGCAGATACAACAGGTGCCATAATACTTCCTTCAGAGGCTTCATAGCTACAGGAGTTGTCACTTGCATCATCTCCGTCGTGGGTTAATCCTAAACTGATAAAGTGTTGAAAGATTCCAGAGATAAAATAGAGAGTCAAGGTGGAATCAATAGTGATAATACAAAAACTAGTAATATAAAGAAGAAGAGATCTACTGACATATGAGCTATTTCATGAGCGATAATAAAAGCACTTGTCAGACCCTCATCACGATTTAAGGCACAAGATCGTGAAGGATCACAAGCACCAGAAACTGGAGCATATCCTGATGGTCCGCCGATGTCTAGTCTTGTCAACCAAACTGCCACGTCGTGAAGCTTATTACTTGAAGAAAGGATTTTGCGATTCCACTTGTTGACATTTTCTAACGATGTGCGTGCATTTCCCTGATAAATCTATGAAAATCATAGTCTTTCAAAAATATCTGCATCCCCATAAATTTTTAAATAATTCAATTATGATAATAATAATAATCTTTGGAGATTTTAAGATATTAAACGTTTTTTAATAAGGAATTTATAAAAAGGAATATTTTCTATATTCCACTTTATCTGTAGATTGGAAAAATTTATTTACTTTTGAAATAAATTCAATTAAAAAATTAATTATCTCAACAGTAAAGAAATTTTCTTACCATTTTATTATCTTTATCAATGTAGAATATTATTCTAACAATTACAATTGTCAAATTTGCTCCAAGAGAAGGGTCTCTATAAATTGCTCTTACCTACGACATGAACGTATCAAAATATATCATTATCATTACTTGAAATGATAATAATTGTTAATAGAATCTATATTAATTTAAGTTATGACTTACTATATTCAGAAGAGCAAAAATATATTGTTGAATCCTTTCACCATGAAATTCTATTACTGAGTAATCAACAGCGACTCCTAACTCAAGCCATTGTGCTGGTTGTGGCATCTGAACTTCATCTATTATAACAGGTTTTGCTGGAATAATTCAAGTAGAATAAATTTTTGGAAAGACTTTATCGTTAGGCTTTTGATCTTCATTTAATAGAGTATGAATGAAATAAATGAATATTTTTCTTGAAATGATAGAAATCTAGTTTTAAAACTTAGACAATCTACAATAATCCATCACTTATTAATTGTTCAATTAAATTTTAACCAAGAGATTCCAAGAGATTTTACCTTCTTTTTTTACTTCACTAGTAAAATAGCTTAGAGATGAAACATTCTCTTGAGTTAATCCATTTCGAGATTGGTTTGTAAAGCTATCCACGTCTGTCTTCTTTTCTACATTCGTTGGACCAATGTCATCACTTAGATCAAAAGTATCACCAGATAAATTGAAATAATTATTTTTCAATTGTAAATCAATGTTTCTCTTTAATTTTCTTGAATTTAGTGGATCATTTTTCATCATTGAATTAGTTTCTTCAAGAATATGGCTTCCATTATTCAATGGATATACAACAAACATTTGGTTATTAAATGAAAAAATTATATAAAAATGTGAATCACAAATAGTCATCACCACAAAAGAGTCTTCATAATTTTTAACATGGCCTTGAGATACTCGACAATTATTTGATGACTGAATGTTGGGTATTTTTGATTCATCAGATGTTACCCAGTTGAATGTAAAATTGGGAGAAATAATTGATTGTTTATTTACGGTAGTTAATAAAATCCATTCGTCCACAGAAACAGTAATTTTACCATTTAAATCATCCACTGATCTTTTCGAATGAATATTCAGTGACGATAAAATTAGCGGGTGAACGATTCCACGATTAATAACATTTAAATTACTTTGAACACCAAGATTAATTGATTCAACAACTATAAAAACTGAAAGAATAATGATAAATAAAACTGGAAAAACGTTTATTTTATTCATGATGTATTCATTGTATCTTTTATATCGTTCACTTCACAATTTATTTGCAAATTTATTGTTAAATTTTATATTCAACAATATAACTTTTTGAATGAAGAAAAAAAAAATGCTACAAATCTATGTGTGGATATAAAAAGCTGTAAACGTTTGTGTCATTCGAAATTATAGAGACTGCAGACAAAGAATAACGAAGCATCGCTTAATTGGTTTGTCGACGTTTTCACTGTGACGGGTGCACTAACTGCAACTGGCAGCCACATGTTGGATTCTCACAATAAATAGGAATACAGTCGTGCACTTTGGTGACACTCGTAAAAAGTACAGATAACGAGGGAATGTTCAGCTTCAAGCGGTTCTCATAATGGGAGCTTTGTATGATGTACTATGTCCATGACACAAAAACTGCAAAGCCATAAGAACTACAGAATTCAAAATATCATTTAGAATGAAATTAATAGCAGCTTATATGCAAAATTGTTTATTGATCGCATAAATACTATTTTTATTACAATAATACCTTTTTTTATCTATGAAATATCCATTTTTCACACTTCAGTTCATTAATAATTATTTTGGTAGAAGACTATTTGTTAAGAAAGTTAAGAAGCTCTAATGGAAGTCTTAATTAATTGAAGAATGGACCCGATGGCGAGCGCAATTTCGAAGCATCGAGTGTATTATTCAGTAAATGATTCATTGTGTTGTTTTGTAAATGATCATAAGGTTGAACTGATGAATTATCTAGCGATCGATGTGTTAGTAAGTCTTCTGATAAATTATGGAGCATTGAATGATTAGATGACGAATAAAATTGATTTTCAAGCAAATTAGGTGCTGAATTATTTTGTGATCGTTGATTAGAGGATGCTAATTGTTTGGGTGAATAGTTACGTGAGTTGAAGATTGATTGATTATTCAGCGAGGATGCTGAGGAAGTTTGTGGTTTACTTGAATACCATACAGATGAGGGAGTTAATGATCTACTGTTGTCGAGCGACCTGAGTGAATAAGCTGAAGAATCTGAAGGCCAATTTCGTGTTGGTAGAGAGGGTGGGTTTGGCCAATTTGTTTGTGCACTTGGTGGGCTATAGTACGGTGGCATCCAGTTAGGTCTTGCTCCTGAAGGTTGAACATTTGTCAAAGTAGATACTCCGTTAGAGGTGGACAGGCCATTGGATACACCGTTTGGCAAACCATTTGGTAGTCCATTAGGCAGGCCGTTCTGTAGACTATTGGATGAAGTATCTACTTGACCATTAGATTGAGACCAGTTAGATGGAGGAGCAGGTAGACCAATAGGTGAGCCATTCGGTAACCCATTAGGAAAACCATTTGATATCCCAGTAGGAAAACCATTCGGTAGTCCATTTGGAATACCATTCGGTAGTCCAGTAGGGAAACCATTTGGTAACCCATTTGGAATACCATTCGGTAGTCCATTTGGAATACCATTCGGTAGCCCATTTGGAATACCATTCGGTAGTCCAGTAGGGAAACCATTTGGTAACCCATTAGGAAAGCCATTCGGTAGCCCATTAGGAAAACCATTCTGTTGACCATTAGGCAAGCCATTAGGTATCCCATTAGGAAAACCATTCTGTTGGCCATTAGGTAGCCCATTAGGAAAACCATTCTGTTGACCATTAGGTAGACCAGTGGATTGAGACCAGTTAGATAAAGTATCTGGTTGACCGTTTCCTGTTAAGGGTGGAGGATATGGAGGTGGATGTTGAGTCCAACTTTCTGTAGGTTGTTGGGATGAAGCTGATGAAGTCCAATTAGAAGGAGGTTGTGCAGGTAACTGAGATGGAGCGGGTAAAGTCCAATTAGAAGAAGGTGGAGAAGCAGCTGGGGGCATTGTCCAGTTTGTTGGAGGTTGTAAAGAAGGGCCAGATGGTGTCCAACTAGATGAAGAATTTAGAGGAGGCCAATTTATTGGAGATGATGGTAATGGCATGCTTTGTGTTTCATTTGATCCAGGCAATGATGGTACGATAGGAGTAGACCAATTTAGTGATGGAGACCAACTAGATGAAGGAGTTGAAGATACTTCATCAGGGAGATCGTTAGATGGTGCATTTCCCGTAATATTTCTATGGGGGTCAGTACATACAGAGTTCAGACATTTCTGAAAATAATAGAATAATAAGTTTGGTTGAAATAGTAAAAGGCTCAATAAAAAGTTTGATAGACTATTGATTACCTTTCCACGACCACAAGGTGTACCTTCTAAGGTAGGGGTTTTACGAGTTGTACAAATTCTTTTCCGTGATGCAGATCTACTGCACCATAATTCTCGACAAGGATCAGTTATCGTAACAGCAAGACAAAATACGAAACTATAAACATAGTTTTATTTGTTTCTAACCCACTAGTCTATTCAAATTCGAAATACCTTAGAGAAAGTTATAAATTACCTTTCTCCAAATTCGATACGACATTGATCGTCTAATGAAAAAATTCCAGTCAAATATCCGGCTACCTCATGACTGATTGGTGGTCGTGCCAAGCATCGATAATTACTTGAATAAAAATGAATAACAAAATAATAAAGCACTATAAAAGAATAAATATTTCTCTAATATTTAGAAATTAAATATTATTACTCTATGTATGTATGAAACTCTCTGCTAGAGCATTTAGACCATATAGGAACTGGTATTACATCTGGTAAACTTTTCCCCATAATAGTTCCCTCCAAAATAGCTTCAGCAGCGCATGTATTATTATAATCTAAATCTCCATCATGCGTTAACCCAATACTAAAATCAATATTTAAAAAAAATATATATAATTCCTAGTTCACGTTGATAAACATACGTACAGGTGACCAATAGCATGAGCAATTTTAATGCTAGAAATCCAGCCATCATCTCTAATAACAATACAAGACCATTGCTGATCACACATTTTAGAATTATAGCAGGTTTTAGCATGAACACTTAATGGATAATGAGTGTACCACATTGCCATAGAAAATTTATCTTTCAATTCTCGACTCCATTTGTTAGCACCATATAGAGGATATTTTTCATGTTCTCCAAGTATCTTAAATAATTATAAAACATTTAATCAATGTAATATTTATTTCAATTATTTAAATAGATTAATAAATGTTTTTTTATATTACTGCACTATCTTGAGAGTTCGGATACATTAAAATCTTCAAAATGACGATATTTATTTCATAGAGTGTTGATATTTGTTTATATAACGTGCTGACCTGAAGCATGAATTGAATTTACATATTTTTTATTTCTCGACAGTTATTTACATATTTTATCATAACGATTTGGACTTACAATATTGAAAACAGTAAAAATATATTGTTGAGTGAGTATGCCATGAAACTCTATAACATCATAGTCTACTCCAATTACAATTTTTATCCATCGTACCTTTGGTCCTAAAACTTTTTTAAAATCCGAGTCTCTCATTATGCGATTGCCAGATTCGTTATCATATAATGCTTCTAGAATTATGGAGTTATAATAAAGATAAAAACAAAGAAGATCATTATAAAAATTTAATAGAATTCAATCCAATTTAATTTACTTTCGTTTGATGAATAGTCAACATTCTCACTATGAAATAATCTAGTAGTTGGCACTGAAATTATTTTTCCAAATCTCAATTACTAAAAATATTTTAGCCTGAGAATCAACAAAATTAAACTCAATCATTTATACCTTCAAAATTATTAGAATATTCTGGTACAGCAACATCTCCAGTCAAGTCAAATTGCTCATTAGAATCACAAATAGTAAGTACCCTTTTTCTGCGACGATAATTTCCACATGTTTTAAAAACACGATAAGGCTGATGGGATAACGAATCATTACGTAGATAATTAAATTGTTTTGAATGTCTTCGTAAACGTTTTGATTCAGACTTTAGTTCTGAATCGTTCTTTTTAGGGTAGTTTCCAGGACAAAGGTTTGGATCTAATTGAATGTATTTAGCTCCTTCTTTAGTTATTTCCCATCCATTACACTGGTTTGTTCCTTTTGTATTTAATCCATTGCTCTTCACTTTATCTCCAAAGAAAACAATTCTCATTTAAATATAAATGAAATAATTAACTTTTAATCTTCCATGAAAAAAACATAAAATAAAAGTTACAGAATTGTGTGATCACTTTTAAATTTAAACTGCAGTGAAAATACTATTATTTTTTAAATTCTCATTCAATTCAGAAGTTTAATATTCTCTTTACATCAACAAAAGTATTTATAAAAGTTGTTAGTCATTTTTTACACTTAAAATAAATTATAAATGAATTATATTTAATTTTTTGGTTTTAATAACTAATAAACTTATTTATTGATAATTAGCGGAAGAATTTTAGAGTAAATTGATTTTCAATTTCGATACAATTTTAAATAGCTCCTTTTAACTGTGTAGGAGTATAACTTCATTTTATTGACGTTATAGAGAAGATTTACCAGTCTAATAGACTGATTCAATCATTTTGAATTATATTTAACCTTTACATCAATTTACTGTAAATTCTATAGCTGCTTACTGTTAATAGAAACATCAACTATTTCATTATTTTCCAAACTCAACAGCTATCTATTATTTATTCAACGGCAATCTGAACAATTTCACTCCAGTCATTCTGTAAATTTTACTTTAGTTTTTTTCCATTTAAAGGACTTTGAGTTCTTTAATCTTTAAATCTGAAGTAAAATTTCGAACAATGAATAGAAAAATTTCAGAGTAGTTTTGAACGTTATCAGTTTGTAGAATTTTCAAAAGGACTCTTCAACTTCATTGACATTTGTTCATTGTACGAAGTTTTCTTTTATTCCACAGTTTTTTATCATCTGATGTATTTTAATTATTTTTTAAAATATATGATCATTCAATAATTCAGTAAAATTACCATTAAAAGTTTTTTTTTCTGGTCTGACTTTTTCCTAAAATTAACGTTATATTTATCCATCATTGATATTAAAGATCCAGGAATTTGAGTCTCATAAAATACATGGCTGCCATTAGTGCTACTTGGTTGAAGAAAAAAATACTTCTTATTTACAATAAGAAGTCCATAATAGTAATTATCACAAATAGTTAATGATATTCGAGAATTTTCAACTCCAATAATTTCACCTTCTAAAGGAAAACATCTATCGATTCCCATATTATCGTGATGATAAAATTTTTTATCATCGCCAGAACTTGCCCATTGCGTTTTGAAATGAGGTGGAATAATTAAATTACTATTCAAATTTGTTTTTATTATCCAATTTTTGAACGAAACGTATATACTATCATCATTTTCTCCAGGTTCAAAGTTGGATCTTTTAAATCGAAATTTGACTTGCTTACGTGAAATAATTTTTGGATAAATAAATTCCTGTTTATCTATTTGTTTAAAAAATTCATTTGGATATCCAGAATAAAATATTCCTTCACTGATAAGTGACATAAATAAAAAATATAGAAAATATATTTTAGAATTCATTTAAACAAAAACACCTTTAAAATATAGAACTGACATTTCACTCCAATATAAGCCAAGTAATAATACTTCTCGCATTGATTGCAGCATATGTCAAATAATTATTCTTAGATTTATCAACTAATCATTCTGATTGATTTGGTACGTAATAAATTGCTATTAAATCACACTTTTTCCAACCATTGATTAAACTTTATTCTATAATCGTTCATGAGAAAAACAAAGAGAAAATATAAGTCTCTTATATTAATTTATTAATCATGTCACGCTGGATAAAGAGTTACAGTCAATAGTACTTGTAACACAAGTGCTAGATAAAAACCAATCTCACGAGTGGTTAGATCAGCAGCTGTACCTTTCCCCGTATTGCAAAAAGATTTTTCACAACATGCTGTACACGCATGAATCTTGGTGCGTTCGCCAATAATAATACATCCAGGTTCACACTTATTTGTACAATTTCGTTCTAACGCCCACATCATTGGTTCAGATGTTGAATTCTCTGTGCTTGTTGTAAATGAGTATCTTTTTACCTGAAAATAATATAATTATAAATAATATATACAATTATTGGATTACAAATGTCAATAATCAAAAATAATTGCAAATATTACAATTAAAAAAGGTATTTCATGCTAATATTTGGTAATGATAGGTATGTATAAGCTAAAATGTTCAATTAGAACATAGCTAAATGTGTAATTCCGATAATCGTATGTTTATTATTCCAACTAGATGATTAAACAACACAATGCCGTTGTAAATTCATTAATATGATTACAATTGAATAGACTATGTGACATATTATTTAAAATGTGCTCATTTGTAATGACGTTGGTGATTTTAATTGAAATTCATTAGCGAATATAATAATTATATGAAAAAATTTTCAGAGCAAGAAATATTGTTTTAAAAATCACGTTGCTCTAGATTATTGTTTTGATAGAGAAAATTTTAGCAATTTCTTGGAAATATCATAAGAAAATTCACATGACTACTACATTATTCTAAAAATATCTGTTGTTATAATAAGCTTTACCTCTTTCATAATCACATTGAAATAAAAACTAAAAATATCGGGTAATTCATTGTCGACAATAAATTACAATAACTATAAACGGTTTAACACCACGATCTAATCTAGTTCATTTAAACTCTTCGGTTTTTATATCAAGGTGGATAAGATAACAAAAAAGTCAATAGCTGAGTTAGCTAAACTATTCATAGCAGAAATAATGCAAAAAAATTTTAACTTTTTTTGACCGAAACAAATACTAACCGGATATTTTATTTTTTAAATTATTTTATTGAAAAAACTAGTTCATAAAAACTGTATCAAAGCACATAGATGTTTATAAAAATATATCTGAAAGTACTAACAGTTTTTTTCAATTGATGTTACGCTATTTCGCTTTAATGCTACACGCCAATATATTATACCAACAATACTGTTCAGTTATGTGGAAATTTAAATAATAGTGTCACTAGGATTTGTATTTAGCAATATTATACTTCGATAGATAAAGTTTTTTTTTGTTGCACAATATTATATTTTCGTTCATTCGATAAATCAAGATTCTCTTAGTTTTTTAACCTTTCAGGGTAGTCTAAAGTGTTGGTATCTTCTTATAAAGATATATAGATCACACTTCAGAATAAAAGAACTTGATAAGTTTATTTTCGTTTGCAGATAAAATAAAAAAGAGCTGTTATAAAAATTAATGCTATCACAGTTTAACAAAATGAAAACTAATTGTCAATTTTTTGTTTTAATATTGAGTTCGTGACATTTAAAAACTTTGATTATAAGAAAAAAATTCATTTATCTTTGGTTAAATGGTAAAGTTATTAATTAAATTTTATTTCCTATTTTTTTTAATAAAATAATCTTTTACTGAGAAAAAAAGCCTCCCTCTTTGAAAGATGAAGATATCCATCTGTTTCTGTCATTAACACAGCTAATATTAGTAAATCAATAAAATCATGTCAACATTTCTTCATAGAGTTCTTTTCTTTCCACAGTTATGAGAAAATATTTCAACTAAAGAGAACACAATAGAAGATTTTCTTTTCTTTTTTTTCGATAAAAGACTAATATCAAATATATGGATAAGAAGACTTTCTTTCAATAACTATTTTAGCACAGAAATTTAGTATAATAAAAGCAAACACAGATGACATTTTTCTACTATTATCAAGTTGTTAAAATCACCTGAAAGCTACTGTTATTATTTAACTATTAAAGTCATTGTATAACTAAGAAAATATAGTCTTAAAAATTATGATTTTTACCATGCAAATTCTTCTGTCATCCTTGCATTTTTTGATAAGCCATGTATGATTGCCAGTAATATTGACGCAATATTCTCCATGTGCTATGGTATCACATTCATAACACCACAAGTCGTTGGCACGTTCTGTTGCCGCATGTGTACGATGTTCAGTTGATAACAATTGTCCTGCTATAATATTAATATTACATGCAGAAGATCATTAAGATAAATATTATGTATGACATTAGAGTCTTTAGATAAATTTGTATAAGAGATATAATGAAATACATTACCTGTAGAGAGATGTGTCAAGGTTGACAACACGACAAAAATAAATGCAGTCATCGTTAGTCTAGTACTCATCGTCATTTTTTTTCCTTTTCGTCCTCCAGGTGAATTTTATCAAACGATCCATGGAAGCATTATTCTTTGACACGTTTTCACTTCACTAACCTAATATACGAATCTAAGAATTGGCCCGCATGGCTGCTGAAGCTTGCACCACCATAATAACGCATGCGCTTTTTACAAATCGAGAGGACTTTGGGAATCAATATCACATGAAAATTAAGGACATGATCATCTCGTCCACCCAAAACTGTTGTTCCCACTCTTCGAACTCTTCAATAAAGATCCCGTGAATTTTCCATGAGTTTTCTAAATGCAATGGCATGCGTGACTTGATCGATCCAAGCTCTTCGTTAATGCGCTCAAGCACCAACGGCTGCGTTGGTCAGACTGTCATCTAATCCCTCGCAAACGAATTCAAGCTAATTTCTATAGATAAGTTTCTATAAATATTTCTTGCTGTTCTTGTTTGTTACAATTACTGGTTTAAAATACAATTGTTCATAAAATTAGATTATTTTCACAAATATTCAATATTCTGCTCAAACAATATAAATAATCCACTCAAAATAACTGACTTTTAATAGATTCACATCAATTTTTCAATTTTTTTTTTCCATAATTTATTCATGCTTATTTTCTATCGCACTTCATTCGTACAAGAAAAATTAAGTTTTGAAAAAAAAAATCTCGTGAAAATGAAACATTGACAAGAAGATACAAAAACAAATATGCTTTAGTTTCAAATATGAGTTATTGGAATGAGAATTTTCAACAAATACATAAATATATTGTTTTTGAATTGTTTAGAATGTAAATAACGAGTTTCCTTCTAAATAACCAATAGTTGAAACGAAAATATCATTCTCATGCAATTCTCTAAAAATGTTTATTCTCAAAATGAAGTTGAAAAAGTAATATATTTTTTCATTTCATTTGATCTACTTAATTTATGTTACTCGAAATTATTGACAATAAACTTCTGTCATTATCCAAGAATATGCTGTCAAGAAGTTTGGATGTCCAATAATTAATGATAAAATTGTTAATTTCATCAGAACTGCAGAGAAATGCTGGGACATGTTGCAAGTTGACAAGAAGTCCAAACTATCCTCAACGTAGAATTAAATTGACTAAACTTAGCCATCATCATCTCAGCATTTGCTCATGGAGATCAAAATTTTAAACTACCTTTCAGGTGCTACAAAAAACATTGATGAAATAAAAAAAATTGACTTCAAAGTATTAAAAGATCTTTTAGCAAAGCTCTTTTATCAATCATCAGTATTTCAAACCAGTAAAAATATTAATGAATCCTTTTATGATTTAGCAAAAGCTATAAATGTCGTTTTGTGTGATAAATTATGAAGTCACCACCAGCGTACGAAATGGACTGTGTCCCAGGTGGGCTAAAATATCCTAGTGGAGAGTAAACTTGTAATTAGAAAATACTGTCTTGTGTAGAGTGAACGATGTTGGAACATTTTATTCCGGTAATATTGTCCATAACGATGCCTCAAATCTTCCACCTCAATAAAAGGACCATTATTCCACTAGACTGTCATTCAGCATTTCCGGTTCTAAGGGTTCTCTCTTCACATAATATAATTTCTTATTTATTTTGTTCGGATGGTGGAAAATAAAAAAGTTTTCACTACTAAAAGTAAATCTCTAAAATCAAGGAATTTCTTTTTCTCTGAAACTCGATAAAATTTTTCAACTGTTGGGTGTCTCAGATTTCTTTCCAAGACACCCTACTGGTTTAATATTGTAGAAACATTCCAAATAACAAGTGTATTTTATTTTTAGAGCTTTTTCTTGTAAATAAAAAATTGAAATTGAAGAAAACCGTAATTTTCTTTAGAAGTTTCTCGTGTTTTATGTTGAATGCAGTGTAATTATCAGTGAAATTGTAAAAGAGGGAAAAAGATTGGGTTTTTCTTTTATGATAGGAAAGCTCTGATGAATCAATGTGAGTCCATAAGATGATGAAAGTAAATTTACAATAATGGATTGTAACAAACAACATTAGTTACTTCGAATAGTCAGAGTTGATTATCTTTTATATTTTCTTTTTGATAATATTTAGAATTAATTCCACGCATCACTGTATATTATTTGAAATAATATTTTGATGTTTTGTTTCCAATATATTACAAAACGGATGTAGTTGAAGTTGTAAACGTTTTTTTAAACGAAAAAAAAAAACCAAAAAAATTCGTATATCGATTCGAAAATCGATATATAATTTAGAAATGACTATTCCAATATTCCTGCGGAGTTTCATTAATATACTCTGACCGGATCAACCCCTTTACTCTTGATCATAAATTTTGTTTATTTAAAAAAAATATAAAAAATTCGTATATCGATTCGAAAATCGATATCTAATGTAGAAATGACTATTCCAATATTCCTGCGGAGTTTCATAAGTATTCTCTGACCGGATCAACCCTTTTACTCGTAGTCATAAAATTTAATTAATAATAAAAAAATATAAAAAGTTCGTATATCGATTCGAAAATCGATATGTAATTAAGAAATGACTTTCCCAATACTCCTGCGGAGTTTCATTAATATACTCTGACCGGATCAACCCTTTTACTCGTAGTCATAAAATTTAATTAATAATAAAAAAATATAAAAATTCGTAAATCGATTCGAAAATCGATATGTAATTAAGAAATGACTTTCCCAATACTCCTGCGGAGTTTCATTAATATAACCCGACCGGTTCAACCCTTTTACTCGTAGTCATAAAATTTAATTTAAAATAAAAAAATATAAAAAGTTCGTATATCGATTCGAAAATCGATATCTAATTTAGAAATCACTATTCGAATATTCCTGCGGAGTTTCATAAGTATTCTCTGACCGGATCAACCCCTTTACTCTTGATCATAAATTTTGTTTATTTAAAAAAAATGTGAAAAATTCGTATATCGATTCGAAAATCGATATCTAATTTAGAAATGACTATTCCAACATTCCTGCGGAGTTTCATAAGTATTCTCTGACCGGATCAAACCCTTTACTCTAGATCATAAATATTGTTTATTTAAAAAAATATAAAAAATTCGTATATCGATTCGAAAATCGATATGTAATTAAGAAATGACTTTCCCAATACTCCTGCGGAGTTTCATTAATATACTCTGACCGGATCAACCCTTTTACTCGTAGTCATAAAATTTAATTAATAATAAAAAAAAATAAAAAATTCGTATATCGATTCGAAAATCGATATGTAATTAAAAATGACTATTCCAATATTCCTGCGGAGTTTCATAAGTATACTCTGACCGGATCAACCCTTTACTCGTAGTCATAAAATTTAATTAATAATAAAAAAATATAAAAAGTTCGTATATCGATTCGAAAATCGATATATAATTGTACGATCAAACGAGCTCGCCGAAGGCGAGCGAAGTTCGATCGAAATTATATAAAGTCTCGTTCGAAAGGATTACAAACGTAGTATCGCCTTCGTACTACAACACAACCACACATTCAGAGATAGAAAAAGAGAGCCCTCTATGACTCTCTACCAGCTTCCGGGTAACTCTCATAATTTTTACAGATATGAAAAATAAATAAACTTGGGGTGGGACTTTCTTTTATTATATTATATAATTAAAACTTAAGGGGTTGGGATGTAATCCTTTCGAACGAGACTTTATATAATTTCGATCGAACTTCGCTCGCCTTCGGCGAGCTCGTTTGATCGTACAATTATAGTCGTCTCGTTCTCAGGATTACAAACGTAGATGTTTAGAGTCCTAATTTTTTGGGTAAAAAATTTTTTATTTATTTATTTTTCCAATTACATATTTTCTTACAGCATTACTTTACTTAGATTATAACTGAAGGCAGAGTATTTCAACTTAATAACTTATTATATTAGCTTGAAGACAAACTGTTTCAGCGAATATGCTTTTCGATACTTTAAATTGGTCTATTGTAAAATCTTGCGAAAACCTCTGACGATTTCGTCCAACCAGCCGTTGACTTAATTGTGTTTATGTCAATTCCTTTTTTATATGCAGTTGATGTGGATGCATGTCGCGTTGAATATGCGGTAAATTCTTCTGGAACACCACTTTCTGTTAACACTGACTTAACCCAACGACTGATTGTTTGAGTAGACGCTTCTTTGTAAGGTTTCTTAAAAGTGATTAGCAGTTTGTCAACATTATTTCTTAATGAATTAGTAGCCTCAATATATTTTTCTACTGTGCTTGCAATACATAGTTGAGGTTTGTCTTTAAATAGGGTAAAAACAGCAATGGTTGATTTACACACTTTTTTAGATGTTTTTGTAAAATCTTCATTTCTATTTCTAATCCTCCTTCTACGTTTTTGATTTTACTTACTTTAATTAGTGCCAACGTTTGTATTCTATGAGCAGTGCCTAATGCTAACAAGGTTGCTACTTTTAACGTTAACCTTGACAACTTTAAACTTTCCAAGGGAAACCAAGTTTCTAACACATCTAAGACTATCTTTGGATCCCGGGGTTTTATCATACTTCGGCCTTAGAGGACGATTTCGATAGACACCTTTGAAAAATCTATTTAATAATAGACTAGATGATAGGCTTTTTTCTGATAATAGGGATATTGCTGCTCTCATTGAATTTAGGGAGCCATAAGCTGCTCCTGCTTGAAACTTGTGAGATAAAAATTCTAATAAATTATTTTCTGTGATATTATATGGATCTTGCTTCTTTTCTTCGCAAAATCCAAACCATTCTTTTATTGGACCAGCATATTGTTTTATTGTTCCTTCTGCAAGCGATAGTATTACAATCTCTACGGCTGATGACGGAAGTCCTCTTTTTTCGAACGCTGTCCGGATAGCTTGCCGACAATCAAAAACATTTTTTGATGCAAGGGATGATTTAATGATCTGCAAGGTGATAACAAAAGTTTTTTAGATGGTTTGAAAACGATAGGTTTTTCTACTAAAAGAGTCTCGAAAACTGGAAACCAAGCCTGTGTGGTCCAATAAGGGACTACTAATATACCCCGTGCTCTGTCAGATACAATTTTCTGAATGACCCTAGGAATCATAGCAAACGGAGGGAACGCATAGAAAAACCAGTTATGCCAGTTGATTGTAAACGCATCTACGATGAAACTTTCTGGGTCTTGAAACCAGGAACAGAAAACCTCGCATTTTTTATTAATTCTGTTCGCGAAAGATCTATTTCCGGTGTAACCATATTTTCTAACTATTTTACGAAAATATTCGTTTCCAATCTCCCATTCAGTGTCGACATTGTTTTTTCTTGATTCTCGATCGGCATCTTCATTTTCTTGAGAGGGGATATACGATGCAAAGATCCAATTGTTTTTCTGTTCACACCACTGCCAAAAT